CACATTAAAGATTTTATGGCCTTGACACTTGGACGAGGGGAGCCAAAGAGCTAGTGCTATCAAAACATAGGTGGCGCTGGGTTGCAGAGAACAGAGTGGACAGTGGCAGGACCGGCGTATAATGCATCCCACATGGTCAACATCCTGCTCCAACAGCGACACATATGGAAGAACCTCATGTTCCTTAAAAAAGAGATGCTGTATCGAGGCCTTTGCTGATTCACCCCGACAGGCACAGAGTTTGCTATCTGGAATATGCTGCATGTGCGCATACGTCATGCAATATTGTTGTTGGATTTTGCTGCTCATGTTCTGGATTTGCACTTCATTCCTCCTATAATTCTCTTCATCTGCCTCATTTAATTTGCATGCATTCCAGTGCGCATCTGTCTGCTCTCTGAAGTCGTGCTCTGTTCTTGATATCAGCTAAATAACTTTATTTTTCTGCTCTTCCCTGAGCCTGATGTTTAGTGCTTGTGCTCATTTCCTGTCTTTCATTTCCTGTGTCCGTATTTTGAGTTTCTGTCTGTGTTTTGAGTCAGTCTCTGTGTCTCTTCCTCTGTCTGAGCTATTAAGGGAGCAATAGCAGCCTGTGAACTCCTTCTGTCATGTGTTGTTCTCTAACTTTAAATGTCTAAGAGACTGCTTTTAACAATATACTGTTTGCAGGCATTGCTTTGTACTAAGGTGTTCTATAGGTTACCGCCAGGGCATTGCTGTGTGGTTGCTAAGGTTTTGAGTGTCAGAGTGTTCTTGGTAGTTGCTAGGGTGTTGCTTACTCAAAAGTCAAAAGTTATTCTGGTCACTCTTTAAATGCATGGTCAATCCTTTTTTTTTCTCATACGTTTTATTGCCATTTCAAATGTCAAATTTGTAATTCTAACAGCTTAGAACAGTAATAGAACATCTCTCCTCAACAAGTCGATTTAGATACTATAGAAAATTCCACTAATAGATGGTTCATATTGATGACTTTTGAATATAATTGGAATAGAAGTGAAATGAAGACAAGGACAATTAAAATGATAGACCTTTTTGATGTAGCGCTTGCTTAACAGAAACTCCAGGCAAAATTGCGGGCGTTAATACTTTGCGTTGTTTTCCACGGAAGGAATTGGCAAAGCCTGGGGTCACATGCCTCGGGTCTTCCTGCAGACTTCCCGTTGGTGCCGCAGAGGCCTAGCCTAGCAGGGAGGAGCTCATATGGCCTACAGGCAACATGAACTCACTTCGAATAAACAGCAAGGGACTAAAACAAGGCAATAAATGAGGTGAGACTGAGACTGACAGTGTCAGGTGATGATATAGTGAGAAATGAGAGGAAGAGAAAGTTAAATCCTCTTGCTGACAGAGAGTCTATAAGTGCTGAGTTCCTCTGACTCTGTGCGTGTTCTTCAGCTTATTAGACATGTTTGGGAGCTGCTCTTCCATGTTTAATAAAACCACAGCTTTTCTCTCAGCACTCCCAGACCATCCAGCAGTGGAAAATTTCAAAGAAAAATGCGATGAGGACGAATCCAATTTCTAACCGCACGGAAAACTGAGACACCATTTGGGATTGGCAGCTCTCGCCATTGTAAAATTGGAAGCATCCTATTGTTTTGCTTTGCTTATGCTTATATAAACAGCAGGGAATGGGCAGATCTCTCAGGAAACATGACTGTGCATGATATCCACAGTGCCTGGAGGTGCAAAGCGGTCAGTCCGTGTGTGTTGACCATCTACAAAGCATTGCATGTTTTTCACACCCTGCGTGCTTGATAGTCGGCATTCCACCGCTCTAGCTGAGCTCCAGGAAGAGTCGGACCATTTGCGGGAATCACACGTGATGTTCTCATGTACCTACGTTTGGAACCGCTCCCATATAGCAGCAGGAGAGGGATAAATTCAGAGATTTAATAAACATTTTGGTCAGGAAGATGACCATCACAGAAATCAATCCTTTTTGAAATTGTGAATAAAACTTCCCAGAACATTTGTTACAAACTTTCTCTACATGGATACAGAGGGGGAAATGGTTTATCAGATTGTGAAAGACGTGTCATTAAAAAATAAAGTCAGCCGGGTGTCCAATATAAGATTATGAGAGAAGCAAAGCAGCTGTTTAATCAAACATGGGCGACGTCATAATAAAACGTCCATTGGACATTTTTAGTCAAACTTAGCAGCTTTAACATGGATTCCCAGCACCACCCAGGAGTTGTGGTCTGGGTGGCAGTATGGGCACAGGAAATGTAACTCACACACTGAGGTTTCCAGTAGAGTGTGGGCAGAAGCCTTCTGTAGCCTATATGCATTTCCAGTGACTCTTTCCTGACGTCCCCATCTTTCTCTGCAAAATAAACTATAGGCCTACCTCAGACATGTTTACCCATCCCTCGAGTGGTTTCTCTGACGTACATTCTGTTTCATTGCTGACATATTTTGTGGTATGAATGGTGACTTAGCATAAAGTATTGACATTGATGTTTGGGGACAAGTTTGGGGACAGCAAGACACTTTTATTCCACAAGGATTCATTAAATTGATAAACGGTGATGTTAAAGACATTTTTATAATTAGGGATGCTCTGATATCGGTATCAGGCCTGATACTGCATGTGAAAGATAAAATATGATAGAGCAATAGAATGAACAGTGAAAGTGACAGAAGCTTGTACAGTACATTTTAACAGGCATAATTTAGCATGAAAATAACTGAAGTAAATAATACTATACAGGTATCGGCCTCATTCTGGAAAAAGGGGTATCTGTGCATCCCTATTTATAATGTTACAAAAGACTTCCATTTAAAAAAAATGCTGTTCTCTTGAACTTTCTATACAGCAAAGAATCCTTAAAAATAAAATGTTTATTTTCACAAAAATATTAAGTAGCACAACTGTTTTCAACATTGACAATAATAATCATGTGGCACTGAAAACTGGAGTAATGATGCTGAAAATTCAGCTTTGCATCACAGGAGTAAATTACAAAATATAATTTTAGAATATTACTATTTTTACTGTATTTTTAATAATCTTTTTGAAAATGCAGCTTTTGGTGAGCATTAGAGACGTCTTTCAAAAACATAAAAAGCTCTTACAGACCCCAAACTTGAAAGGTAATGTATGTGTATACAGAAGACACTGGGCTTCAAGGCCTATTTTATTTATTTTTGCACCAGCAGATTTCTTTCTTTTATCTTGTTCTGATGGATAACTGGAGAATTTATCAGTTCGGCCTCTGGTATATGCAATAGTATTGTGTGATAAATCTGGTCTAAAAAGATCTGCATTAATTAGCATTAGATCAAAGTCTCCTGCTTTTTTTTACGTTCTTCTGCTCTAGCCACATGTGGTCCACAGACTCGGCCCAGGCATATGGTTTTATTTAGCTTTGTGGAAAGGTTAAATAGGAAACTTGGATAAGAGAAAAGACTCTGAATCGTTTTATATGATGAAATTTTGAAAGTTTCTGGGGCATTTTAAAACATACATGTAAAAACGTATCAGTCTTTCAGTTTGCGAGTCGGTCTTGGTGTAGACCGATCTTGGCCGTTACACTGCGTTTGTCTCTATTGCCTGTTTAAACACGGTGGTTTGTGTAGGGCTAATTCTCTTGGATAAAAAGCCTGCACCAGACTCCTTTAGATACTGGCACCAGACAAATTGCAGTGCATTTTGTATTCTTTTTTTTATCATGTGCCTCTCGTTGGGTGTAAACAAAAATACTGAAATGAGTAAGTGTTAGTGTATATTGGAAAGCATTAGTGTGGTCATATAAAAGAGTTTGACTGAGACACACAAATACAAAATGACAAAGAAAAAATCTTTATTGGTTAAATTGCTTTTTCACAGATTTGATTAATGTCCGTTTTTGTTTGATTGCTCGGTTTTTCCACTGTCATGCACACTGTACGACAGCGGATTCCCATGGAATGGCATTACATCAGTGTTGTTCTGATTTAAAACCCAATATGTGCTATTTACCAGATGCAAAATCTTGCCTTTAGCCACTCAACGGCCCAAACCCAAGGATTCTGTGAGAGCACTGTTAAAGTGTAGTGATTTTACGCCTCGTAGTGTGTTGTAAAATAAATTAGTTACGTGCATAACAGAGAACTTCTCGTCATTTTTGCATCAAATAACACCCTAGCCAAAATCTCAGTGCAAACACCATTGTAGCTGAAAAATCCATGAGCCTCTGCAAATGAGTACCAATACTATGATGCACAATTTGAAAAATCAAAACAAAGAATGTCCATAATGAAATATCATCTACTAGTGTTTGGTAGTTGTGGAGCTACGCTGGCATATATCTCTTAATATAACTGACTAAATATTAGTCCAGCTCTAAAAAGCAGTCTTCTAAAAAAAAAAAAAACTCACATTTGTGACATAGTTAGCTTGATTTACAGTACTAAAACTCTATCTCTCAAGCAGCAATGATTACATTGAGTTAAAAAGGTCATTCACTCCAAAGGTAAGACATTAATTCTACTCATTCTAATTCAAAACTAATTCATTCCGTCTGCCCTCCACAAAGAAAAAAAGGAAAATAAAATGACAAAAAAGAGAAAAAAGAGAACAAAAGTTAAACCTTTCTCTCACACACTATTTAGGACAATTTCAGTAAAAATGCAGAAAAGAAAATCAAGCTGCTGTACCAGTTGGCGCAGCAGCTCAGTCCACACATAGATATTTTCAATTCATACCACCACCCAAAAAACAACAAATATCATCAAATAACAAAAACCGACACCACATAAATTCAAAGTTTATCAGGAAAATGACAGTCCACTGTGATTAATAAAAAAAAAAAAAGTATTTGCTGATGAATGTATTGCTGAAATTTGGATTATTGTCAATAAATATGCACTTGGATGGTATTAATTATGTAGACATGACCTTGAGTAGTAGTCAATCTTAATCTAGTGGTGGATATCCTGTTACTTTTTATGAATAAATAAATATTAACACCCTGTTGGACAACGGGGATTTGATGTCATGCAAACGAGTGGGGGTTAGAACACAAATCTACACGTACTGTAGGAGTGCAACATGTTAAAGTGGAATCATTGTGTGGCATTTTAATAAACCCAATACGAACAAGCAAACAAAATCAATCACATCACCAAGGCATATTCTGGTGGGCAGAATCGAGAGGCGCCCCAGGTTTGGCCCCGCTTGTGCCCCTTTGAGCCCCCCTATAGCTGTTCGGTTGTTAGGGCATGTTAGCTCTGCTAGTTTCAACATCATTATTAATGAATAGTACCTCCAGCAGTGTGAGTAATTTTATGTCTCTGTATCGACTAGAGTCTAGAGTGAGGATCTTGTGCGGATGAAATCCCGCCCCCTCAGCACAGGAGTTGAACGCGTCTCACTGCCTGTGTCAGTCTTTTAGCGTCGTGACGCGGCACCAAGTCGCGTGGCTAGACGTCCAGGTCGTCGGGTCTCGCTCGACTGCTCATGCGGCTGCTGGTGCGGCTGCACGGCCGGGCGTCTATCAACGCCAACGGCTGCAGCTCGTGGCCTGGCGTCAGTTTCTTGTGCTCGTGCGTGTCATCGGGGAAGTCGAAGGCCTGAGCGTGCGAATTGGAGATGGTGCTTCCGTTCTGGCCCAAGCGGTTCTGTTCTGCGCTGTAGTTGGCCCAGTTCTGCTCGTTGGCCTGCTTGTTGTAATTGCGACAAGAGTTGGTCCGCTCGCCGGTGGCTAGTTTATAGCCCGGAGGCGACATGGGGGAGAGCGGTGCGGTCGGCGAGGAGCAGCCGTTGTAGTAGGCGTATTTGGTAGTGGACAGTTCCTTCGGTGTAGGGCTCATGGTGCCGGTGTGGTACTGGTTCTGTTGGCCCTTCACACGGTCCTTGATCCGTTTGAAGAGCACGTAGAAAAGCTCTATGATGTTGAGCAAAAGCGAGACGAGCGAAACCACCAGCATGAAGATAATAAAGATGGTCTTCTCCGTTGGCCGAGAGAGGAAACAGTCCACCCGATGGGGGCAGGGCGAACGCTCGCACGTGTACACGGCGGACAGGCTGATGCCATAGATGTACCACTGGATGACCAGGAAGCCCACCTCAAAGACGGACTTGAAAATGATGGTGACTATGTAGGTGCGCAGCAGGGCGCCTTTCATCTTCACCTTGCCGTGCTCCTCTAGGCCGTGCTTGAACTTCTTGTGCTCGATCTTCTTCAGGTGGACCTCGACGTCGCCGCCGTCGTTCTGCACGGCCTTCAACACCTCCTCTTTGCGGTTGAGCTTCTCCTCCTTGCGCATCAGGTAGAACACGTGCGCCAGGTACAGGAGCGTAGGCGTGGACACGAAGATGATCTGAAGCACCCAGAAGCGCACGTGCGAGATGGGGAACGATTTGTCATAGCAGACGTTCTCGCAGCCGGGCTGCTGGGTATTGCACTTGAAAGCCGACTGCTCGTCACCCCAGGCCGACTCCACTGCTGTTCCCAGAACTAGGATCCGGAAGATGAAGAGCACAGAGAGCCAGATCTTCCCTCCGGCCGTGGAGTAGGCCTGCACCTTGTCAAGAAGTCTTCCCAACGCACTCCAGTCACCCATCTTGAGGGAGTTCTAGCTGAAAATAGAAAAGCTCAGATGTAATAAAACGTATTCAGACAGTTTTGGACACTTCGGTGACACTTGAATATGTCTGAATGTCTTTGTGTTAGATGCAAAATATCAAAGTGACATCTCTGAACAAATAACACAGTGATTTTTTTTTCTATTATTTTTAAACAAATAGTCCATCATTTTAGTGAATGTATGAAGTCAGTTCCCCTCAAGTTCATACCAGCATTACTGTTATAACATAGCATAACATAAATATATATATATCTATACACACACACATATATATATTGGCACATTTGGATTAAAAAGTCACCTGGTTTTAGAAGTTGTTATGTAATGCAAAGACATTCGTACATTTTGAAGTGTGGCTTAAGTGTCCAAATACTTTTTGTGAGGCCACTGTAGTGTATTTTTTCTGCACATAAAGCACATGATGAAAGTGTTAGTTTCAGCACCTGCTGAGGATGTTATTATGAAAATAAGCATGAAAACTGACCTCAAGATTATCATAATATAAACTACACCTGGTCTCAGAAAGCTCACATAACAAACATGTGGCTCGCACACACGTAGGGGTTAGGTTTAGGGTTGTAAAGATAACTGCCAGCACTTGCTGTCTTTTGCTTTGTGAAATCAAAGTTCTCAAGGTGATGCTAGTTTTTACAGAAAGTGAGTCGTCATCTACTGATTAAAACATCTTAAATGACTCTTTAACATGACTAAGACCAGACTGACTGGGGAATTTAAAGACACATGTTTATATAGCAAGATGTTGGTCCCTCTGGTTACATCAGCAATGTTTAAATGCAAACAATAACATTCACTTAAAATCTGACTTGAATTGGGAAGCAAGTCTTTGATCAATTCCCCTGTGCAGCATGGAAAATCAAATATCATAAGGAACTGTTTAAGGAGTTCTAAAGAATTTCCTGATTCATGTGGTGCAGACATGATGAAGAGCATCTCTTCAATATCCTGGACAATTTGTGGGTCTCGTGGCACTAATAAAGTTTAAATGGGGTATGTGGAATGTATATTACGACAATTACAGTGTTAACATTTATAAGAGACATCAAGGGGGAGACATCAAGTATTTTTGTTGTGTATACATCCAATAGGCAGAAAGTACGCTTGTCTCTCTGTAATGTAGCATTCTACTAAATCTTTGATAGGTTTGAGTATATAGTAAAGAATATAGGCTAGTATAAGAACTGTTTATATAAAATTGGCATGTAGGAATGCTTGAGAATTACAGGTTTGAGTTTAGCTACAGAAGGGATATTTAAAGGGATAGCTCACCAAAATGTAAATTCTGTCATCATTTACTCACCCTTGAGTTGTTCCAAACCTGTATGAATTTCTTTCTTCTGCTGAACACAAAAGAAGATATTTTTGAAGAATGTTGATAACCAAATAGTTGATGGACCCCATTGACTTCCATAGTATTTTTTTTAATCTTCTTCCATTCTATGGAAGTCAATGGGGCCCGTCAAATGTTTGGTTAAACTGACATTCTTCAGAATATCTTCTTTTGTGTTCAGCAGAAGAAAGAAATTCATACAGGTTTGGAACAACTTGAGGGTGAGTAAATGATGACTGAATTTTCACTTTTTGGGTGAACTATCTTTTTAACATTGTAATACGGGACTGAACAGCGCCCTCTAAAGCGCATTGACGACGCAAGCGAAACAGATCGTTTTTCACCAGAAAGTCGTATTAGAGTTGTAAAAAAAACAAAGGCAGGAAAAAATAAAAGTTGTTTTCCATTTATTCTATAAGAGAAATAGCTGTTATAATGTGTTCCAATTAAATTCATGTAGGCCTAAATTCCTGCTTACATGATTTTTCTTCAAAACTTTATTCCAGACACAACGTTTTTGAAGTTTCTATTATTTCATTTTTGTTTTAATTACTGAAATGTCTATTAAATGTCTTGTTTCTACCAAACATGACCCCCACAACAGACGTGAATAAATACTAAACTAAACCTAAATATGATAGGCTATAATAATGAACCATATATGATTATATTATATCATTATGGCGATTCATATCGTTTCATAAACTTCTAAACTCACTGAAAAGTTTTTCAAAATCAAATCAAATATGACAAAAGCCTTTTAAAATGATTAAATTCATTATTTTAAAGTAACTTTCCACTGTGATGCTCAGTTATAAATATTAGTGTTGCTATGGAAAAAAACTAAGTTTTGAAAAGTTGAAAGAATTTCTGTAAAAACTTACCTAGATAGAAGTAAAGAGAGGAGAGCCCTGTAGGGACTTACTCCGTCACCTCTGAAGACCAGTCACCAAATCCAAGTAAGCGACTATGGAGAAACTGAGGCACACTTGTCAAACTTTCCCTGCTTATAAGAGACTCGGAGGGAAGAAAGTGGAAAGCAGACGCACAAAGTTTGGCAAAGTCACGTGACTGCTACGTCAGTTGTTGGGTCCTCCTCATACTCTCTCGCTTGATGGGCTTCTTCAACTCAGACGAACAAATATTTCTCTCGAAAACGTTAGGAAATTGACGAGAATTTAACAATTCACCAACAGTCATGTATTATAAGAACGTTTTCATTGTGCATAGCCTAAGTGATCTGTAAATCAGAATGGTAGAAAGTTTTTGATTATGAGCCTATATATATAAATGTGTGTGTGCGTGTGTGTGTGTGTGTGTGTGTGTGTGTGTGTGTGTGTTTGTGTGTGTGTGTGGGTGTGTGTGTGTGGCATATATATATATATATATATATATATATATATATATATATATATATATATATATATATATATATATATGTAATTTTTAATAATAATTAGCTCTAATAATCTAGCTCTAATAATTAAATTTAATAGCTCAATATCTGATCCCCGTCTTTATAAGACAATAATTAAAACAGTCGTTTTCATGTACATATTTATCTCACATTTATTCTTGGTGTATAAAAAAACGTGGTTAAAGTAAAAATAAAAATAAAAAAGGCTGTAGAAACTTTACAAAAGGACAAAAAAACTCACTGGCCTTAGTGACAGAAGTAAGGAGTTAGTCAGTGAGTGCAACTCAAGAAGGTTACAGCGCCATCTAGTGTTCAGTTAGCAAAAGTTACAATTAACAATATTTTTCATAGGCTAAGTTTGATCATAATTTATTACATTAATTTTTCTGAATATGAAGTTGATTATATTAGCTATATGTATTTTCCTACAAGTGTTACCAGAAATATGACACAAGGACTTGCCTTATAGGTCAGATTTGGCTCCTTCAAGACTGCCTTTTCTTTGAGCGCACCTGTTCTGAAAGGCCATGTTTAACTCATTGTGTCTCATTCCATTAACAGCACTGGATTCTACCTTAAAAGCTGAAGGATAATGGGTTTGACCAGCGTACATTACATTCTTAGATCTCTTATTCCTCCTATTTATCATCTTACAAAGCAAATAGAATATTTCTAGAATATTTAAGGCCAGAGACACACAAGCCACCACCAGCATGAAGATAATGAAGATGGTTTTCTCTGTGGGTCTAGACATGAAACACTCTGTCTCCACCGTACAGGGCGGCATCTTACAGTTGAACTTGTGCTCCATGATAAATCCAAACAGATAATACTGTCCAACGATGAAAGCCACCTCTAAAAGGATCTTTGCAAACAGCTGGGTCAAGTAGCTCCCCAGCAGGTTTCCTTTGATTGCAACCTTCCCGTCAGGGTCTGTATATTTTGGCTGCTTCGACATCGGGTTCCTTTTTAGCTCCTCTCTCAATTTGTTCTCTTGGTGGATGACGTGTACCACGTGGCCCAGGTACAGCAAAGTCGGAGTGGAAATGAAGATGATCTGCATGACCCAGAAGCGAATATGCGAGATGGGGAACTTCCAGTCGTAACACACGTTCTCGCAACCAGGCGTGTTGGTGTTGCATACTAAGTTGGATCTCTCGTCACCCCACACGCTCTCCGCCGCCGTTCCCAGCACCAGGATCCTGAAGATGAAGAGGACGACCATCCATATCTTGCCGATGACGGTGGAGTGGGACTGTACTTTGTCCAGTAAAGCTGAGAGAAATCCCCAGTCTCCCATGATTAGTTGCTCAGGGCTTCCCTGGAGGATAGATAGGATATTTACACTAAATTATACACAATTAGTTTGTTATAGAAATACATGGTGATCATCCCAAATAGGAATTGGAGGTTAGCAGAGTGAAATGTCATTTTTTGTGTGTGTGTGTGTATACACTTCATAAGCAAAACACTGAAAAATGGCATTCATACGTAGTATTTTTGTCTTGTTTCCAGTCCAAATATAACAATTAAATCAAGATGCATTTATTAGATGAGTAGCCTAACATTGTTTTCTGAAAAAAAAAAATGCTTTCTGCATGTTACCCTCAAATCAACGCATTCTCATCTCAAGGCGTCATATACTGACGCTTTTGCAAAAGCGTATACATCCAACGCACATGGCACCCTTTAGCGTCAATATAACACGCTTCGGTTATGGGTAGGTTTAGGTCTGGGGTAGGGTTAGGGTTAGACTAGGCGACGCCTTCTGGCCCATATATATCTGTGTCTCATATTGACGCTAAAGGGTGCCATGTGCGTTGGATGTACGCATTGGCAAAAGCGTCTAGCCTGACTTCGTCATACTCATATTCTAGTCAGAATGTGAGTCTGATACTGCTCCATAGGGCTTTGATTATGAGGCGTGTCTTAACCGAACCAGAAAAAAAAAAAAAAAACTCTGCACTCAATTGGATAGACCTACAACCAATCACAGCAACTTAGTAAGTGTTTTTTTATGAGCTACGCAAACAAAGTTGTCAACAGAACTCAACTACACGCACGCTGGAAGAAGTAGTCAAATAATGAGTGTTGCTTCTTTTACTTGGCCCTCTATGAGTGCGACCAAAGGAGAAACCACAACGACCACAGGGTTTTCATTGCGTCCCATCTTCTTAGCGGCCATCGGAGCCATGCAGCTGATAAAATAAACTTTTGCCGAATCCCGTAGGAAGGACGGCAAACGCATCTTTCCAATCGACAAATGCCTTGATTGCAGCTCTCTGTTCGTCTTTTAAAATGAATGCGCTGTCGATTTCTTTTACAACAGACGCAATAGCGGAATCTATACATCTCAATTCTCCAGCTGCAGTCATCTTTCAGGAAAACCAGTTCAACCCAAGCGCTCTTTGATAACGTGATGATTACGTAACTGCAGATCATCTGTCCATCATCGTATAAAGCCCGCCCTGGCAATTTGATTGGCCCGACTAATTCTGAACCGATCATAATTACTCCTCAATGGATCAAGTCCAGACCGAACTTCCCGACCAAAAAATGTTGTGGGCGGGGTTCGGGCTGGCATCCAGACTAAAAAGCGTCAGTATATGTCAGTATATATTTTTTTTCCCCAAAGGTTTAAGTCAGATACTTTATGTTTCTTTGTTGACTAATTAAATATCCCTTTAAATAAAACACCACCAACCCCACCCCCGCCCCTTATACATCCAGAATACCTATTGCACAACTATGGACAAATTAGCAAATCACAAAAAATATCACTGATTGACAACAAATTAAAAAATTCTGTGTATTTTTGGTGTTTTAATAGCTTTATATTATTACATTATACAATTTCTGTTATCAAGGATAGGTTTGTAGTCAATTTGACACTCCCATTGCAGGATGCCTCACTGTTGGCACGACACAGGACTCATGGTGGCGTTCACCTTTTCTTCTCTGGACAATCGATTTTCCAGATGTTCCAAACAGTCAGAAGGATGCTTCATCGGATACAATAACTTTGCACCAGTCTTCTGCTGTCCAATTCTTGCACTTCCTGGAGAATTTCAGTCAATCTTTGATGTTTTTATTGGAGAGAAGTGGCTTCTTTGCTCCCCTTCTTGACACCAGGTCGTTGTCCAAAAGTCTTGTCCTCGCTGTGTGTGCAGATGCATCACACCCCCTGCCGCCAATACTGAGCAGTTCTGCACTGGTGGTGACACGATTCTGTTGCTGATTCCTCAGGAGGAGATGGTCCTGGCACTTGCTGGACACTCTGGGACGTCCTAAAGCCTTCTTCACTGCAGCCGAACCTCTATTCTCGAAGCTCTTGATGATCTGGTAAATGGTTCTTTCAGGTGCAAAATTCTTTGCAGCTATTTCCTGACATGTGAGGCCATTTTGATGCAACAATGATGGCTGCACATCTTTCTTTGGAGGAAACCATTGCTTACACAAGAACACAATGATTGGAAGCACTTCTTCCTTCCTTTTATAGCAATCATGTGCTGATGATATGATTAGTAAAATCATATAGCTGGTCATTTGGTGCCAAGGACAAAAACAGTGCAATTTGGGGTTTTGTGATAAAGCTTTTTGCAAATATGTAAAATGCCTCTGATCACTATAATCTAGAAAAATGTGAATCAACATCATAACAACTGAAGAAGCAAAATTTTCTTATTTGGCCACAGCTGTACCCCGTCATTCAAGTGGGAAGTGGGACCATAATAACGTTCCATTTTTGGAAGCTAATTTATGAGGCTCAACATAGGATTCTCATGCTCATCTGAGGAGGATGCCTCATTATCAGGGTCCTCCTCGACATTATCATCTATTTCACAGAACTATGACAAAATCTAATTGACAGAAAACGTTTGCTTAGAGGTCATTTTCAATTCAGAGAGAGCATAAAGAGAGAGCTCACAGAGCACAAAGAGAAATGGTTTATAAGGCTTCTGTGGAAGCTTTCATATATTTGCTCCTTCCCTATATTATGTAGAACAACAGCGACTGAGATTTTTACAACACTTTGGCCATTTTGCTGTAATGTTATCACTTCCCAAAAATCTTTCCAGTTTATTTAAAGCATTTGCATCTTATTCATTGTAGACATGTCATACTCACCAAATTATGTGGGGAAGAAAAAACTTTGTGCCTTGTAAGCTCACCAACCTGTAGACATATAAAATCATACATTTTTGGAGACAATCAAAAAGACAAGTTTTTGTGGTATTTGAAACCAATCTGAATCCTTTGAGGGAAAGTTATTTCCTAGTTATGTATCTCTAGAATGTTTTCTGTAAGAATTCAAACAGATAAGATGGGGGACCAAATTAATATAGGCCTATATATATATTAGAAATGTTTTATGAATGTATATTCAAAATATATTTAACACTTTATATTAGGTGTCTTTAACTACTATACTTGCAGCAAAACACTTCTGCTATTGAAGTGGGATACGGGTAAGGTTACGGACAGGTTTGGTGTTTAAAGGTATAGAAATTAGAGGTAATAATTACTGTTGTAATTACACGTATAATTACAACAGTGTACTAGATGTAATTACATAAATTAATTACAGATGTAACTACATGCAGGCAATCATAATAATTAAAGTACAATCACTGTAAAAAAAAAGTTGCTGCCTAAGTACAGTCAACCTGGATGTTTAAGTCATTTCAACTTAAATTACATTAAACTGACTTAAAAAAATTAGTTGATTCTTGTATAACTTATAAAAAGAGTTGAAAATTGCTTAACCTATTTGGATGAGTAAAAACATACGTTGTCATTATTATTGAGCATAAAGGTTTACAGTGTATGTAACGTGTATGTACTTAATAAGTGCATTGTATCAAATGATTTATTTCAATGTTAGTTAAAGACACCTAATATAAAGTGGGTCCAAATAGTTAACAATAACTATCTTGTTAATTATTTAAATATATTTGATATTAAATTAATACATTGAATATGTGAATATGTAACTGTTAAAATCAGACTCCAACAAATCCCAAAATATTCTTACCTGAATGAAGGGTCCAAATGGAAATTTCCCGCAAAGCAACAACTACTACTGATGATCGTAAAAAATATATATTTTAAAATCACTCGCAAGTATGTATTTAAATAAACGTATTTCCTTATTCCGCTCGTTGAGATTTAAAGACTATTCTACAATAAAACATCTGTATCTTTAGGAAATATCGGTCGCTTTTGATGAAGTCACTCTCAGACAGGATTCAGTCATTAATCTTATACCCGTGACATGTGATTTACCTATATCTGAAGGAACACTGAAAGCTCCACCCAACTCTATGATAAAGAAAACCAGTTTTAACCAGTCATCTTTCACTTCTTTATTTCTGTTCTTGTTATAAGTAGTCAAAGAGTCTAGTTGCATCACACTTTCACAAATTAGCCAAATTTGTCTGAATCATCAGCCTTGAATATGTCGTGAAGTGGAAGCCACATCTATGTGATGGTGGTGGGTGTGTAGTGGCTAAAGATCAGGGCTGGTAAGGTTGCTGGGTATGAGCCCTTATAAGAAATGACACTCACTGCTGTGTCTTTCACTTAACCACTGATTGTTCCAGAGGGATTATCCCTATAAAAAAGGACACAAGTTTCAGCTTAATGAATACAACAAAACAATATTTGGTAACACTTTATTGTACAGTGTCCTTGTAACACGTTACATGTAGTTACTATAGTAATTATTGTGCATAAATACACACAACGAACTTAAACCACACCCTAATCCTAAATCAAGTGAGGTCAAGTTACCTTTATTTAGTGCTTTATACAACACAGATGTTTCAAAGCAGCTTTACAGTGATAACAAGAAAATGATTGAATGATGTAAACAGAGTACATTTCTGCTGTAGCTCTAAAAGAAAACAGTGTCATTGTTCAGCTGGAGTCAGTTTAGTGTTGATTCAGTTTTGTTGTAAAGATCATCAAATGAGTTCATTTCATCTATAAAGCAGTTCTGCAGACAACAGTGATGTCATCGTCCAGCTCAGTTTAGTTTTTATCCAAAAGTATCAGCTCAGTCGGATCAATAATATTGTTGAATATTAAAGGGTTAGTTCACCCAAAAATTAAAATTCTGTCAGTAATTACTCACCCTCATGTTGTTCCAACCCTGTAAGACTTTCGTTCATCTTCGGTTTTGTCGTAAAAATATACATATTTAAAACTTTATAAATTAAAATATCTGACTTCCGGCAACGATCGACGCGCGTTCACGGGTGATGGGAACCGCCGTGACGTAGAACGAACGCGCCTGCGCAGCCAGAGAGCAGAGCAAAACAACGTCTACGTCACGACGGTTCCTACGCTACGTCATACCTCGTACGCCGACTTCCATCACCCGTGAACGCGCGTCGATCATTGCCGGAAGTCAGATATTTTCATTTATAAAGTTTTAAATATGTATATTTTTACGACAACACCACACGGATTACCCTCAGAAGGCCTTCGTTTATCCCCCTGGAGCCAGATTGATTACTTTTGTGAAGGATGTATGCACATTTTGGGACTTGAAGGAGGTGGACCCCATTGCTTCACATTATATCCACTGAAGGGTCTAAGACATTTTCTAAAATAACTGAAAATGTGTTCGTCTGAAACAAGATTGACATATGCATCTCGAACGGCTTGAGGGTGAGTAATGCATGTGTTAAATATCATTTTTGGCCGAACTATCCCTTTAAGATATTTTTGATTAAATCTGAGAGCTGGATCACTCCTCCATAGGCTTCTTAAGGGATCGAAACTGACCGGCCCAAAAGTTATGAAAGACATCGTTAAAAAATAACGACTTTATTCAACTAATCATTTCCTTCTCTGTACGGCCGTGATATTTCACGTAGTGATATTTTGCGCAAAGCTTCTAGGTTGCACGTCACACGTAGGCTCACTATTGGCCGACGCTGGTCATGTGTGTGATGCGTGACGTACAACCTAGAAGCTTTGCGTAGTTTCACTACGTGAAATATCACGGCCCACAGAGAAGGAAATGAATAGTTGAATAAAGTCGCTATTTTTTTTTTTTTTTTGCGCACAAAAAGTATTCTCGTCGCTTGATAAACTTAAGGTTATGAATCACTGTATGAATCACAGATTGACCCTGACAACCTTTAACACTTGACAATTTATTTTCAAGTAAAGCCTTGTGTAATCTCCTAAAAGGGAGTTTTATTTCTCAAGGATTTGAATTTTTGTTTAATTATGTATAATTGTGGGAGAGAGATCTGCGGACAGTCATCCTGACAATGAACTTGAGTAATCTCTTCTTGTAAAACACGGACACGGACACTTTTCATGTCATACGTGACTGAGATCCAAAAATGGGGGCAAATGAGGGACAGCAAACATTTGAACTGACATTAATCAATAACAAAGATTTTTTACACCCAAGACCTGAGAAACTTCACCATAGATTTTAATTTACACCCTAAGTGATCGAAATAAATATTGTCTCAGGTCCTGACAGAAAAGTCATCTTGCAGTGACAGATTAACTAAGCCCAAATTGATGAATGGACCCTAATGTTTTCTCTACGTGAGAGGACATGAAATTACATAAGGATAAGAGAGGGGGAATAGAAAACAGAAGTAAAGAAGTTTTGCTTCCTAAAATGGCTGTTGTTTTATAAAGACATCTGATCACTGGAAGCTGTACTCTGTACTGGTCTCTGTATTGTGGGATAATAGCTGGACACTTGGTTCCTTTTACCAAATGCTAGCCTGGCTATGTGAGACATTAGTAGGCCAGGCTAAGATGTTTTTACGATTCTTACTTAACATTTTCGATTCATTCTAGTGAATCTGTTCGTCTTAAACAGCCCTCTTTCCCTCTTGTAGATAGTGCTGTAAAATCTGATTCTAATGAATCGGTTTAGTCCGAAATGGCTCGGTCTGGAAGGTCCGATTCATTCTTTTGAATTTGTTCGTCCCAAACGGTCCACTCTCTCATCCGAAACTCACATACGGTTTTTTTCGGACGGTTCTTATAAATGAACAGATTCTAAAAAAAAAAAAACACTCGAATCACGTCATTTTTGTAGCAGACTATTCATCAGATGTATAAATGAAGCAGTATTTTATTATTTTATTTAGTTATAGCCTATTTAGTGCAAACATTTATTTGTGCACGTTTGATTTTGACATGTCATCCTAATTGGGTTAATTCATTCAAAAACCCTCTTTTTAAAAACACATTACAGCCTATATTTTACGTTTGGGTAGTTATATATTTTACCAAAATAAACTTCACCTCTCATTTCTCCAAGTACAATCTCTAGCCCACTCACGATGACCATAGAGACACATATGCATCCACACAACTGGACATATCCGTCTTCTTTTAGTGGTTTACATTATAAAAATACTCTCAAACATGACAGTCTTTCAATTATGATATAAAAGGGGATCTAACTGAGTGATCTATAAATGGATGACGAGGATAAAAATTGTGTCCAAAATGTGTCCTTTCATGTGGTGTTTCTGTGTTTTATCATTGAGTGAGAACAACCATATTTTGTCTGCACTGTACACTTCACAGAACCGCAAGTAAAAGAAATGTTTGCCAATTTTCTCCCATAATTATGGTTTCTGGGGAGAATAGTTGCGGTGAAACTGTACATGAGAGCTGAACAAAGTTCAAACATGCATGCTAAGTTAACATACATATTTACATATTTGCTGTTTTAATTTATTCATTTGGCAGATGCTTTCCTTTTACCCAAATAAATCCTTAATTGGCTTTTGTACCACGGTCAGACATTGATTTTAAAATTAATATTACAGAAATGTTATCTAAATTATATCAAAACACTATATTGTATAAACCCATAACTGTACAAAGACAAAAACAGCATAACATATGATCATGGCCTTTGGTCTGCATATTCAATGCTTTGGATTACATAAGATATTTTTGCAAAAATGGATGAAATGCACAGTCATACCTTTCCTTTTAGCATTGTGTTTGTGTTTTTGTGATTTCAGAAAAATGCTGTCTATGGAAACGACAATTTCATCACATTTCTCGTGATCATGACTCATTTTTTTTTTTTTTTCATGTATTGCAACATCTTGAGGCAAAGCTGGACAATGTAAAGGTTGGTGTGATTTATCTGAGAGTGTGTGATTTTGTATGTGTACGTGCTTTTTTTGTACTTTTTTTTTTTTGTGGGTGGAGACTAAATGAAAGCTACACTTATAAAAATTACAAAACTTGTTGAAGATCATATCTTGAAACCTCTGATATCATCTTTTCGCCTGCACACAAAAAGTGTCACGGGACCTGTCATAAATAAGGTTTGTAACCTTGGAAATGGAATTACACTCTATAATTTGCACTCTAACATTAACTGATGATTGGAATGATTGTTTTTTATTTAAAACAACATGTTTTCTTATTGCTGATAGGCTGCATATTTTAATGTTGATGTTGTACCAACTCTCCTATATATTATAGAAAAACCCATACATTCGCTTTTTTCTTTCGTCAATTTTACAATTTAATTATTTTAAATGACATTTATAAACTTGAGGGGAAATGACTACAACATTAAAAGCGACGGTGATAACTAAAAGACCATTTAGGTAAAAATAATAGAAAAAAAAAGTCGAAGTATTATTTGTTCAGAGTTGTCGTATGTCCATGTAATGTCCATGTAATTCCTATTCTCCCATATTGTACTTTACCTCAGAAGTCTTCTCATTTGCAGGTCAGCATGGGAGACTGGGGATTCCTCTCTACACTTTTAGACAAAGTGCAGTCTCACTCAACCAATATTGGGAAGGTTTGGCTGACGGTTCTGCTGATCTTCAGAATAATGGTTCTTGGGGCTGGACTGGATAAAGTCTGGGGAGATGAACAGTCCAGTATGGTCTGCAACATCAAAACTCCTGGTTGCTTGAATGCATGCTACGACCATGCCTTCCCCATTTCCCATATGCGATTCTGGACGCTCCAAATCGTCTTTGTGGCCATCCCCAGTCTGGTCTACCTCGGCTACGTTCTGCAAGTCATCCACAAAGAAAACAAATTGAGACGGCATTTACAAAACCAGGCAGAGAAAAGTGGTGTCAAACTACCCAAATACACTGATGACAACGGGAAGATTTATTACAAAGGAGGCCTGCTTGGTTGCTATATGTTGAGTCTCTTTGTGACTATATTGTTTGAATCAGGGTTCATTGTAGGCCAGTACTATTTAATTGGGCTTTGGATGCCCACACAGCTAGAATGTAAAGTGGACCCTTGCCCTAAAATCGGCTTGCATTGTTTTACATCCCGCCCAACTGAAAAGAGCATCTTCATTATCTTCATGCTCGTTGTGGCGTGTGTGTCTTTGGTTTTGAATCTAGGAGAAATATTCTATCTGATGGGTCGTAGGAGGCAGCACAAGATGAGGCCACCTGCAGTGGCTGAGATGGAGAACTTAACCCTTACTAAGACATTTTGCTAAATTAAACAGTCTGAAATGTCATCATATTTCCCTTAGACCCATGTCTGGAGCTCAAGCCCTCCACCATTTCCTGTTCTATTCAAAGATTAAAGATTCACATGTTCTGTGAGAGATAATTATTATCCCTGAATGTGCTCTATCCCACTTTTTAAACATTTTTTTCCCCTTTTCGTTTCAGGTGAAACAAGATTTATATGTAAAAATAGTGTTTGCATCGCTTATGTACATTTGGTAGCTAATTGAAGAACACAGTTTAGTTATTATGAACATTAGCCTATTATTTTAGCAGTAGCCTATAGCTTAACACACAGTTCAGGGATTATTATGAGCATAATTATTGTGAATATGTCATGTGGGCAAATAAAAATACACACAAAAACAACAGCAAACATAGTGTGTTGTTTATAAGATGCAAGATGAATGGTTATTTATAAATATTACGAGTGGTCGTGTCCAATGTTAACTTTGGCGCGCATTGCTGTTATGTCTTTTCATCACAGGGGGGCGTGTGAAGAGCACAAATCATCAGTGCATTTGAAAATCAGGACAGTTAGATACCATTGCATGAAACAACACTTCTGACACATTTCAGTTTTTTTCCATATTCTAGTTTTATTGTAAAACTTGTTATATTAAAAAAAATAAAATAAAAATAAGAAACTAGCTTGAGATCACCATACAATTTAAAAGGATACTCCACATGCGTTTTTATAGGTAGGCTACATCGCATTGTTTGTATTTATTTGTATGTATACGTGCTTCAAGATTCACATAGTTCACCCAAAAATAAAAGGTTCGTCTCAACACTGCATGGTTCTTCTTCCATAAATCACTAAAGGAGATGTAAGGCAAATAAAAAGACACATGTGAGACAACCAAGTTTGACGCGTCAGAAACGGAAATGTCTGAATATCTGTGAGATAAAAAACGTAAAATATGCGCACAGTCAAATTTCAATTAGATTCCAGCAGCACGTGAGACATATGGAGTACTTCAATGATATCTTTACCGTGCTTTTTTGTTATTTTTGGAGTCATGTAGGTTTGGAACAACATTTGGGTGAGTAACCTTAGCTAAATTATGCTACAATTGTTGGATGCTCCTTTAAAGGGATAGTTCACCCAAAAAATGAAAATTCTGTTATTATTTACTCACCCTCAAGTTGTTCCAAACCTGTAGACTATGAGTTTCTTTCTTCTGTTGACCACAAAAAAAGATATTTTAAAGAATGTTGGTAACCAAACAGTTGACGGTAGCCATTGACTTCCATAGTAGGAAAAATAGGCCTACTGTGCCGTCAACTGGTTATCAACATTCTTTAAAAAATCTTCTTTTGTGTTCAACAGAAGAAAGAAACATACAGGTTTGGAACAGCAGGAGGGCGAGTAAATGATGACAAAAAAAACCAAAATTTTTTTTGGTAAACTATCCCTTTCATTCTTTTCTGAATTAATGAAACTCTAACATTTCCCAAGATAGCTTCCCACACATATTTAGCTGAGCAATACTTTAATTTAATAAGAAAAAACATAGTCTTGTTACATTATTCACAGTTTTTATTTTCCACATTTTACTGGTTACTCTCATAGTTCCACATGTTGTGCTTAAACCAAATGGGGTATTTAGAAAATTATGAAACTGCAGTTTGTTACATAAACTATTATCTAAGTGTAACGTCAGTTTATGACAATTCCGTTGTCAGACCAAGTAGAGCATCACAAAAATGTAATAAAATGAGATAAGTGATAGATCATAGACAAGTCATTACCTTAACAAAGGTTAGAAGTTATTTATAGTCCATATAAAATTACCTTAAATATCATGCACCAACATTCATTCTAGTGCAAACATTAAATACATATACTCATTTCACAGCAAAACAAAAACTGTGCAAAACCAATTGATCACAAAATGACATTAATTTTAAGACTCATTTATCTATGTACAACCTTACAACACCGAACAATCTTTTCACCCTTAAGTTTTGCTAGACTTTGAAGTTCCTGTGATGTGCACCTTGGATCCATTTAAATCTTTGGAGAACGCAGACATCTGTGTGCCACGATGTCTCTTTGACCTGCGGCATATCAGGTAGAACATCTCAATCACGTTCAGAAGCAGAGAGATGCACGCCACCACCAGCATAAAGATGATAAAGATGGTTTTCTCTGTGGGACGAGACATGTAACACTCAACCGTATGAGGGCAAGGCGATTGGGAGCATTCTATCTTAGGGATCATTATGAAACCGTAAATATAATACTGGCCTACAATAAACGCAGCCTCCAGCAAGATCTTAACAAACAGGCTGACTAGGTAACTACCTAACAATTGGCCCTTGATTATAACTTTGCCATGATCGTCGGTGTATTTGAGTTGCTTGATGCCTTGCCTTTCAGCGTGGCTTTCAATCTTCTGCTTCAGTTTCTTTTCTTTGTGGAGGACATGAAGAACGTGGCCGAAGTATAGAAGCGTTGGCGTGGACACAAAGATGATCTGAAGTACCCAGAAGCGAACGTGGGAGATTGGAAAGGTGTGATCGTAGCACACGTTCGTACAACCCGGCTGCTTAGTGTTGCAGATCATTTTTGATTGTTCATCGCTCCACACCTTTTCGGCCCCGGCCCCGAGAACCATGATCCTGAAGACAAAGAGGACAGTGAGCCACACCTTCCCAACGACAGTGGAGTGAGACTGCACTTTGTCCAGCAGCTTGGAGAGAAAGCCCCACTCTCCCATGCTTGTGCGGCCTCTAGTGTCTCTTCCTGGAAAACTAGGGGAGAAAGACGGCATTTTTGAGTGGTTTTGATCTGCCTAAAATGCTGAAAACAATCTCATTATTTACTCAACATCATGTCTTTCAAAACCCATATGCTATTATTTTTCAGTGAACACGCATAAGTATACATTTTAAAAAGAATCATTACATGGCTCATAGAGCAGCTGCTAATCCAAAAAGAAGAGAGAGAGAGAAAAACAAAATCTAATTTATGGACTTTATTCCAAAACTCCAATACTACCACATACTAACTTTGTGGGAGGAACAGAGTTAACATTTTTGTCATTATTTATTGATAATGTTAAAATAATGCATGAAATACTTCATACATATTAATAAATTATTCACCGCTGTGAAAAACTATTGTGCCTAGAAAACAAAAAAAAATGTAAAAATTATATTTAAAAAAAATACATACAAAATTATATTATGTATATATTTTTTTATGTAAAAAAATTAAACTTGCTTTCAAAATTCAAAGTGTACTCCACGTAAAGCTTTCATAGTTACAGTGCATTTTATTATTATTATTATTATTTGATCTATGTGCTTCAAGTATTCAAAATGAAAGGTCGTCTCCCTGCATGGTTTCCCTTCTTCCATAGGTAAAATAATTGTAGTCATTATTCAATGATAATGTTGAATACACATCGCATGACTTATGTTACTAAAAATGTCAACACGACATATCTGCATGTGGGCAACGTGTACGTTTCGGCAGAAGGGTAAGATTATTAGAGAATAAGTAAACAATTATGTTTACAAAAAAGAAAAAAAGAAAGAAAGACACTTAACCACATTACCTTTGTGGACTGTGGCAACAATTCAATGTTCAGAAGATAAGAACGTCCAAGGTGCAGCGTTAAAATCTGACTAAAACAAAATATAATGTAAAAATATGATTTTGAATTGAACATAAATACATTTACTTAGTAAGGAATTATGAGTTGAACTTCAGATGACAAAACCAAAACACAACATTGATTGCTGTCTGTATTTATATCCTAAAGACACTATTTTTGAGACAATTCTAGGCTTTTAAGTAATTACATTTGTGGTTTAATGACAAAAAGGGAATATGTAACTAGCACGCCAATCTTTCAACATGCAGCCTTCAAGATACTCAACAATGTTTTAACAATGTGAATGACTGACTTTTCCAATCTAGCATTCAGTTCGAAACAGTGAATGGTTAACAATCAGCAATCACCAAAATCCGTCCGTATATCAGTCCAAAATAATATTATTAGATTATAGTCAGTTTTGTGTTTAGAATCCTGAAGGGAGCTTAACAATACATAATGTCACGTATAAATGAGCAAATAGAGCCATACAAAAATGTAAAATACGAAAAACGTACATTTTTACCTGTGACAACTTCAGCGTCTCAGTCCGGTGCTGATTGACTCTATTGCTCAATGTTGAAATGTCATGTGTCAGGTGTAAAGATTGAACTTCAGTGCACCTGATTTCACAATTTTTTTTCTTTTCTTTTTTTTTCCTTTGGGATGTCACCTTCCTCTTGACGTCTGATTAAAGTTCCATTGCCATATTTGGGATAGCAGGATAAAAATGAGCTCAAAGTTAATTATTAATCATGCTAGAATCTAGGATAAGTACATACACATGCAACAATGTCTATATACCTTTGTATTTTCACATACTCATACTCCCATAAATACAAATGCTATGCAATTCACACAAGTTTGGCACGGTATATTGATTTGCCATCAGTGTGATTCATAACATTGCAGGAATTTTTGAACACAACTAATACTGGGAAGTAAAACCACTTTTTAATGTTTCACCATGAGAGAAGAGAACAGAATAAAAATGATCTTGGCATCCACCACAGGGGGAGCTTTTATAACATAATGAATCCTTGAGGTTTAGTGCTTTAGGGTTTTCATCATCTGAGCAGTAGTTATTCTATGCTGTAGTCAGTAATAAGAACAGTGATAAAAATCAGCAGCGTGGCCATATTTGAGATATGCGAGAACAACAGACATCAACATAAAGATAATACAAATGCAACTTGCCGTGCAATGCAAAGAGGAAGAGTGGAGCAAAAATTAATTACATTTTTAAAATAAATATAATAAATTAGTCCAATTGAAATCATTTAAAACTATATAAAATGCATTAAAAATTTAAATATTTTAACATATTGTGCGGGCAAAAAATGTTGATACAAAATGTCTTTATTTGGTTAAATGTTTTACCTTTTTTTTTACTGGATCACAGGAAACTACTTGATAATTCTGAATCATATTCATTGAATAAACAATAATGCACATATAAAATATGCAATTATTGATTTAAAATAAATGTTAAAATAATTCTCCAACACTTTACTATGTCTTTAAAACATTTACCCTTAAATGCATGAATGTCCCGCCAATCATGTTGGGGTCTTTAGTGACCCGGATCTATATCTAACACGGATGGATCTCTTCCTGTCGGCAACAACTGAAGAATAAAATAAAACATATTTTGTTACCTTTTGCAGCTTGGAAGGGTTCAGTTTGAGCTGAAGTTTTATACCATCATCGCCGTCCTCGTCAGAACTCATTTCCCAGTACATTCAGTATCTGGCTCATATTCGCGATCGCAAACATATTCTCAAAACTATCATTTTCAGCATCTTTAAAATCAATATTTTAAACGCTGACAGCTTCTTCACCAGATCCACCATCAAGTGACAGTGACACTAATATTTGATTGTGTTCAGTGCTTGCTATGCAGTAAATCGCTGAGCCATTTCAAGTTTTGCTGATGATACTTCCTATTCTTTTGTTTTCTGTCTGTTGTAACACTTCATCATTGTGTATCAGACATCAAGATTCAATTATTGTTGTGCAGAAAAAAATATACTTATACTGTTACACTCCTCGGTTTGTTAGTGACCCTATACAATTTTAAAAAAAAATTAATTTGTAATAAAATTGTAAAACTTTTATAATTGTATATATTTTTTCTTATATTGTTTATAATTAATTAATTGAGGAATACTAAGTAGGTTGATGTCTAACTTTAAAAAAATGAATGAGGAGAAGGGTAGTGATTGATGTCCTGGGTCACTAAAGACCCGAGGTATGCTTTTAAAGGTTAAAACATGTTTTTAGGGTAAAGAACCATTAATAATATGAATAATTAATATAATGAATAAGATATTAGCAATTAAGCAAATACAGACTGATTTGTGATTAGAACATTTAAAAATGTATTTTCTTTATGTATAATGCTTTTAAAATAATTTGCCACTTCATGAAACTGCATTCATTATGTGCTTTTAAGTGGTTTTAAACTGGATTAGATATATTGTGAAATAAGAAACTTCGGTTGTTTAAAAAGTTTTATTTTAAACAAGGACATTGTCATTCTGCTGTCTGTTTTGTAACGGAAAATGAGCCAATGGAAATGACAACATCAGACAAGACATGTGGACACCAGTGCTTAAGTCACTTACTGACTCTTTGAAATATTTACACACAGTATATACAATCGTATAACAGTAAGTATTTTTTACCATAGTATATCAAAACTATCCAAACATGTATTATGCACAAAATAATCATAAAATTAAATTAAATAACACAATCCATTTTATAGAGTACTGTACCATACCAATACACTTTCTTTCACAAGTATATTCTCAAGTGTGTAAAATACTGGACAATCAGTCAAGGGCTTTGGAAAATGAACTGTAGAGATGTTTATCTTAAAACTTGGCAGAATTGTTACATTTCTGAGATACAAAAGTCCAAATCTAATGGTCTTCCATCAATTGTTTTTCTTCTTTCGCCCCATCCAGGCTTCCTCCAAGACTCTGACCGCTCTCATACTGCTTGTTCATTTTGTTCTGCCTCAGAGCGTCTTCCGAGGTCATCTGCCAGGAAGATGGCAAACTGGCGGGGTTCCTTGGCGAAGTGATGTGATGCGAGCGTTTCTTGCATCCCACCCTGGTGCACAGCAGGTAAAACACCTCTATGACATTCAGTAGCAGAGACACACAGGCCACCACTAGCATAAAAATGATAAAGATAGTCTTCTCTGTGGGACGGGACATGAAACATTCTACGGTGTAAGGACAAGGAGATTGGGAACATGTAAACTTGGCGATCATAATAAAGCCGTATAAATAATACTGTCCAACGATGAACGCAGTCTCGAGGATGATTTTAAAAAACAACTGGGTCAGATAACTGCCGAGGAGGTTTCCTTTAATCGTGACATGGCCACTTTCATCTGTGTATTTGGGTGACTTCAACTTGTGGCCCTCGCCAAGGCTTTTTATCTTCTCCCTGAGTTTTTTCTCTTGGTGGATGACCTGCACCGCATGGCCGAGGTACACCAAAGTTGGAGTGGACACAAATAGGATCTGCATGACCCAGAAGCGGATGTGCGAGATGGGGAACTGCCAGTCGTAGCACACGTTCTCACAACCAGGTTGCAACGTGTTGCAAACCAAACTAGATTGTTCGTCACTCCACACGCTCTCCGCCGCCGCTCCCAGCACCAGGATCCTGAAGATGAAGAGGACGCTCATCCATATTTTGCCGATGACGGTGGAGTGAGACTGTACTTTGTCTAATAACGCTGAGAGAAATCCCCAGTCTCCCATGTTTGCTGATGCTCTGACTTTCCTACAAAAAAGACATAGGAAAGGGTAGGAAAACAGATGAATGACAAAGTCCACTTTAGATTTAACTTAATCAATAAGCGTTTAAATGAGGCTTCATTAATGGCATACTCTTAATAGATTAAAATACTTAATAATTAATTAAGTCCTTCAAACAAGTTTAGTTATTGTGCTTAGGTTTGCACATGTAGAAAAGCAAAATGAGAAGAATAGTATAATGGTTCAAAAAAAGAGGTGTTATTAATAAATGTTACAATTTATAAAACCAAATGAAATGCATTAATAATTGTAATACATTAAGAGATGGTGCGTGTAGGCAAAACAATGAATAAGAAATATTGATTCAAAATGTACAATGGTGTTCACAGGAAACAACTTGATCATTCTGAATCTTATTCATTGAATAAGCATCTGTGGCTACTGGTAAATATAAAATATGCAATAGAAAAATCTATTTCTATTTTATGTAATAGAAAAACATGTTAAAATGATTCTCTGTGATGTCTGTAAAAAATGTACTGTCTTAAAACATAATATGTATTTAAGGTAAAGAACAATTACAAGATAATTAATTAGATATTAGTAATAAGCACTTTGCCTGACAGTCGGAATATAACAAATTTTATTTAATTTATTCTTAAATATTATTTTTTCACCACAAGGCGAATATCTTTCATGTTTGTAACCTGAAACAATCTATACATGAACAGAAGCACAATGTAATATTGATTTCACACGTACCTTTAGCGAGTTGCACCTCTTCCTATTAGAAACTAAGCCGCATACCAAGTGATAGCCGAGAATAGTTGAACCTTGATTTTTGGGCTTTACTAAGATTGCGTAATAGCTGCAAGTGTCCTACTGTCACGTTGTCCAACGGTAAGCAATGAAAAGAACTAGATTTTGAATGCTGATACACAGGAGTGTCACATTAATGATTGAAAGGCTCTAACAATGACATCTAGGCTGCCACACTTAAGTGCCAGACCCACACAACTAATATTATGTCTTATATTTAATAATACTAATCATTCATTATACATTCATTATATGTGTGTATATATATATATATATATATATATATATATACACATATAATGAAAAACTGGAAAAACTTGAGGTCTCGAATTTTTGCCTGAAAAACTTGGTCTCGATTGGTACAATTATTGATGAGAAACTTAATTTTGAAAGTGACGTAGAGTACATCCATAAAAAGGCAAGACAACGCCTGTGTCTTCTTAGGAAACTGAGGAGTTTTAACATTAGCACACACACTCTATAGATCAATGATTAAAAGTATTCTTCAATATAATATTGTTTCATGGTACGGTAAGTTAAACAGAAGAACAAACTTTCACAAATAATTAATCAAATCACTGGACACAAACAACACCCAGGGCTTATTTGATTGTTTTATGGAACAAGATCATACTCACCCCCTTCATTCTACTTTTGAAATGCTCCCATCTGGGCGTAGACTCAAAAAATTACTTTGGCCAGAAGAAATGTGTATTAAAAAAATCGTTTGTCCCAGTGGGAGTGATTATCTTAAATCGTAGGCTACTATTTTCTAAAGTAATAAAATAGAATGGCTGGCATTATAGTGGTTTTTTTAATGGATTCTCTTTTTTTTAATGGGAACTGTTAATTGCACATTTTGTTAATTCTGTTTTTGTCACCAGTGTCAAAGACAAATATCTGCTCTGTGACAAATAGAATGGACAATAAAGTTCAGCCTAGGTGAGCATAAGATGAGCTTTCAAAAACAATTTGAATAAATCTTACTGACCCCGAAATAAACAGAACAGAAATAACTGAAACACAAAAACACAGTTTATTTAACCTTTCTACAAAGTACCATTTCAGACCAAAATGACAGAAAAACAAAAACAGAAATTTCAGCAATACATTATTGATTTGTTAAACAGAGAGAGAGGGTCATAGTGTGCTTGGAGTTGGGGGGTCTTGACCATGCACGAGTTAGTTGGATCAGTGGATGTTTGCTCACGTTGACCGTGTGAAAGACTTTGTGTGCGGAAGCCTGCTGATCAGATATGGACCTCTTGCATGTCAGCACTATGGTCCTCTGAAACCACGCTCTTGGTTGCCTCATTGCCAAGGTCCCTCCTCTGAAGCTCACAGTTCACCCAGTTCTGGATCTGATCTGTACTTTTGATTTCCTTCCTGTTCACAACCGGGGTCACGGGGGTGATGGTGTAGTCCTTTCTACGGCTGAGACACTCGTTGATCTTCTTGACGCACAGATATAGGATCTCAATCACATTCAGGAATAAAGAGACACAGGCCACCACCAGCATGAACCAAATGAAGATGCTTTTCTCAGTGGGCCTCGATAAGAAGCAGTCCACCTTGTGAGGACACGGAAAACGGGCACAGACATACTGGGCCTGAAGGGTGAAGCCATAAAGATAGTACTGGCCCAAGATGAAACCCACCTCCAGAAGTATCTTACATAGCAAGCTCAGAATGTAGCTTCTCAAGAGACGCCCCCGAATGTTGACCTTCCCATTGTCCCTGCTGTACTTGGGAAATTTGTAGCCTTTCTTGAGGAACAGACTGATTTTCTCATTCTGAAGCTCTTTCTTCATCATTTTTCTCACTTTCTTCTCGACGTGTATGACGTGGACGACGTGGCCCAGGTAGGCCAGAGTAGGTGTGGACACAGAGATGATCTGCAGTACCCAGAAGCGGATATGCGAGATGGGGAACGCATGGTCGTAGCACACATTTTCGCACCCCGGCTGCTCGGTGTTGCAGATGAAGTCGGACTGCTCGTCGCCCCACACTCTCTCTGCACCAGCACCGAGGACTAGAATCCTAAACACAAACAGGACGGTGAGCCAGATTTTCCCCACCACCGTTGAGTGTGTCTGGACTCTATCCAGCAGTCTTCCTAGGAAGTCCCACTCACCCATCTTTAATTTTAATCGAATTCCTGAAAGAAGAAAAACATTATTAATTGGACAGAGCATGTTTGGCAGCAATTAATGTGCAAAAATGCCCATAATTTGATTTCACGTATTTTATGCAAGCACTGTTGACTGTCAAGTCAGGAGTCAAACCAGGTTATTTTACAAAACATAGCCTACACAGGAACCAAGGTTTTTGCCCTGAAAACCCAAAACATTGATAATGACAATGGGAATACATCTTCAACTCAGCTTGTCACTTTTTTGTGATCATTTTCAATATTTGTCTGCTCTGGGACATAACATAACACTTACATTTTAGATCACATTACATATAAATTTTTTTAGAGGCTTTATTTTTGTAACATTTTACTGAAATATGTCATTTATTTCTGTGATGGAAAAGCTGACTTTTTATCAGTCCAGTTTTCAGTGTCACATCTTCAGATATTACTCGAATATGCTGATTTGCTGCTCGTGAAGCATTATTATTATTATCAATGTAGAAAACAGTTGTGCTGCTTACTAATTTTGTGGAAACAGTGATACTTTTTTCACGATTCTTCGATGAATAGAAAGTTCCAAAGAACGGCATTTTTTTTAAATAAAAATATTTTGTAAAATTATACTGTAAATGTATTTTCTTTATAAAAAAACACTCATTACTGGCAACGTTTGAACGGTGTAAATAAAGAGAGAGAATCATAAACAAGCATATAAATGACATAGATAGATAAATACAAATAATTACTCTTTTCACTTACCAAATTTAAGAAGACTGAGAAGAAGGCTTACTCGCTCAGTGAGGACTCGAGGGGAATGTGTGTAACATGATTTCTCAAAGCCATCCACTTCCTATCGAAGAGGCAGCTTTTGAACCAAAACAAAGATTGTCACATTATCTGTCTGTATTCCAACTTTCAGCCTTGACGTCTCGAATTGGAACATTTAGCCAGAATAACAGTTGTGTTTCTCATGCAAGATTATACGCCATAACATTAATATCCCTTCATTTATGTATCATACTGGCTGGGCCCTGTTGTATAACTCTTAATAATGAGGTTATTTCTGCACAACTGCTGTCCGAATAGCAAAACAATTGTTTTCAAACAGAGGCCCGTACCATGATGGTTTTTAAACAAACTCTGGGTTACAGGATTAGTTTAGGTGTGACATCAGTAGCCAACAGCCAATCACATGCTGTGGAACAGTAAAACTGCGATTCACTTCTCTCTTCTGCAGAATGAAAAATATTGAAAACGAGATTGAAAAATATTAAGAATTTAAACAAATTTACACAGCAAGAAGAAAAGATCTGTCTATGAAAGAGGACAACTAAAACTTATATCAGTGCAAGTAAAAGTTGTGAAGTTAGTCTATATAGTTGATATAGGTATAGAGAGATTTGAACATTTAAGTTCACATGTAGTCATTTTATAGCTTTATCTATGATTCTAAAGCTTATTTATATTACCTTAAGTGCATAATAATTGATCAACTAAAATTGTACATGTGTAATGGACTATGGGTAAAATAGTTACATAAATAATATCTAAATCATACAAAATGATTTAAGCATTGCTAAAAGCTAGACGATTTGTCACTTTCATGGTGCCTAAAACCCATGGCACAAACTAAACTGAAACATATCTGGCTAGCCACCTAAACCAGCTTCATGGTATAGGCCCCTGGTTTCCTAAACTTCTTCCACTGGTCAGATAAACAGATAGTCCCATCCCCAAACTTATAACATGTTGAGCCAATGCTTCCGTGGCATAGTAAACTGGGAAAAGTATTTTTGGAACAAAAAACTACACACTTCACCTTATAGGATGAAATAAGTATTATTCAATATATAAGTAATTAACTCTTGACTCTAATTCCGTCTATTTCTGAAATAATTCTATTCTCCAACTCCGTACAGACTTATTTTTCAAGATTTCTGTTTTGACTTCACTGGAGGAATCCAGTGTTAAAAAAAAACAACCAAAGTATGGTATGGTTTTGTACTTCTGTTAGTGTTAATGCAAGTGAGTAATGTGCATTATGTGTTTATAGGCAGACACAACATTTGACCTTATCAGCTCATTCAGAGATAATACTGTGTCAGCATGACTGGAGTTTATACAGTGGAGAAAATATATAAATTTAATTTTGAACATTTAAAATCAAACAATTTCAAACAGTCTTTCACTAAACGTCCACTAAATTAATAAAATCAAATAATAAAACAGTCTTTGTATAGACATTGAGGATATTTATTGATAATTTCACTGTTGCAACAGCTAAATGAGATACACTGCAATAACAAACACTGGCTACACAATGGTACAATGAAGATCTATCAATGCTGATGTGTATACACAGCCAGTATACTCAAAAACACTTGGCATAAAAATAAATAAATAATTTACAAACCCCTTTTTTCTAAATATATTACTATGAGCTTTGCAAAATGCACCAGGAGGGGATTTTTTAAAGGGATAGTTCACCCCAAATTTTTGTCAGAATTTACTCACCCTCAAGTTGTTCCCAAACAGTTGACGGCACCCATTGACTTCCATAGTAGGAAAAAAAAATACTATGGAGGTCAACGGGTGCCGTTAACTGTGGTTACCAACATTCTTCAAAATATCTTCTTTTGTGTTCACCGAAGAAAGAAACTCGTACAGGTTTGGAACAACATGAGGGTGAGTAAATGATGACAACTTTTTCATTTTTGGGTGAACTATCCCTTTAAGTCAAAAAGCAATAGTGCAAAAACATTATAGAATTGTCATCATGATCCAACCATTCAAACCACTTAGAAAAAGTTTTTTTGCAAACAGATATATTATCTGAGGCATTTCTTTTAGAACTCAGTAGGAGGGGTTAAAAGGAACAGTAGTTGATTTTAAGTTTCAACACTTTAATCACTCATTTTGTTCTAAGATTGGTCAAAGTAAACTCTGCAACATCCATTTGAAAAACCAGGTCTTTCACATGGAGGGGAAACATCCCTGTCAGGTGGCCCCTGTGAACACACGTGATCCCAGAATCCATACCCACTCTGGCATGCACTGCACCAGTCCAAACTAGAGAAAAAGTGAAACAGAAAAGCAAAGAAACACTAAATATAATGCACATAATCCATAAAAGAGGAAACTCACTACAGTGACTTAAAATGTACCTGTATGGTGTGAGGCCAGTATCCTGTGGTTCTGTGAGAGATGCCCAGAGTTAAAAGAGCATTCCTGGCATACACTTGTGGGCTTGGCACCAGCCAGCCAGCAGAACCGTTACCCTCAGATCTTTGAGATGCAACTCTAAAAGGCAGCAAACTCTGCACGAAGACTCCTCGATTACCATATTCATAGTGTAGAGAGCGACTGAAGTTATCGAAAAAGGCCTGTGGGGAATTGAAAAAGCACCTGAATCATAAGACAAAGTAAAACGCATATATTTGGATGGAAAATTGGTACACAAACAGACAATCTGACCGTGGATGCAGAGAGAGGAGCCTTTCTAGGAGTCGGACGAAAGCAGCGCCCAGCAGAAATGTTGACCACTGCTCCTTTTCCCCTCTCCACCATAGCAGGCAGTGCCAGGCGGGTGACAAGAGTGGCAGCTACTACATTTCTATTGATAGTGTCCCACACCGCAGATTCAGAGAGGTCCGTAAAGTCTTGAGAGGTGTCCAGAGACCCGTCCAGACTGTTAATGATGAATCCAATATTTTTACCGGCGATGGCATCTCTTATAGGTCTACAGGCCGTGGACCCCTGACTGAAATCAGCTTCAATCCAAATGGCTTCTACACCGTGAGCGTCTGAGATGGCTTTGGCAGTGTCAGCCACAGTACTGATGTCATTACTGATCAGAATCACAGAGATGCCATGCCTGGCCAGTTCCTCTGCATATGCTTTTGCTATTTCCTCTGAAGCTCCTATGAAAAAGTTGTCCATGTAAGTTAGGAAATTATCTGTAAAATATCAGTATGCTATTGAAGCTTCTTTCCAATACGGAATTAGGTAATAAAAAAGGTAGGCTAATTTTGCGTATTTTTATCTTACAATTTTGACTTTTTTTCTTGCAATTGCTAGTTTATGTCTCACATTTCTGACTGTTATTCACATAATTCTTAGTTATAAACTCGCAATTGTGAGTTAACATAGCAATTCTGACTCCCCCCCCCAGAATTCTAAACACTTTTTATGCGTTTTGGCCGATCATTTACATGACAACAGCAAGTTTTGGTGCAAGTTTGGGGGTGCAAGTTTTTGAAAACAATAACGTTATTGTCCCCGTGTAACTACTGCCCCGTTTACACGAAGGGAAGACGCAGATATTTCCCTGCGGTTTGGCCTCTCATTTACACGAAAACCCCGTTTTTATCACAGAAAACGAAGTGGAGATTTCTAATAATGCCGGTTATGTGTTGCCGTGTCAACTGGGAGAAACGGGGTTTTAGGTTCTCAAACGTCACATTATGCGCCAGAAAATGCTCATATATTATATTATATATTATATTAATATAATTAATATATATATATTATATATTATATTAGAATATATTCATTTCTCTAAATACCCGGCTATGTGTAAATGTGGCCTACAAAAACAGGAATCTGTGAAAACGATGACATCATGCTCAAGCCAATGTTCAGTCTATAGGCGGCGTGTAGTGTTTCTTTACAAAGTGTCATCGCAAACTACTGGCCTGACAAGCGTTTTTAGTCGTTTTCGCGGATCTGTTTGAACGGGGACAAATACTTTTCTGTTTTTAGTGCATGTTATCGTGTAAACGTACATCAAGCAAAATGTTTTTTTGTTGTTGTTTATGCCACTGAATTAAAAAAATAAAAGACAATTGACCTTTCATTGATCTCACAATTCTGACTTTTGTCTTCACAATTGTGATTTATATCTCATAATTCTGACTTTTTAATCAGAATTGAGAGAATTGTTCAACTTTTGAGATACTTACAAATACAAAAGTCAGAACTGTAAGATAAGTCGCAATTACTTTTTAAAAATGTATTTATTTATTTTTTATTCCGTGTCGGAAAGAAGCTTTCATATTATGCAGTATTATTACATATATCAAGGTTCAATGCATAGATTAGATGAAACCTACCACATATGACCGCCCATTGTCCATATTGCTGACTAAGATCTCTATGGCACACAAGACGAGGAATAAAATGAAGCCTTATCAAACTATAGCAGTCTCTCATAAATATAACAGCCTTGCTGGCTGTGTAACACGCACCCACGAGCGCCAGCGTTTCCACATAACAGCTGCATGATCTGGAAATTTCTCTATACAAAAGCTGGAAGCTGTCAACAGCGGCCATTATAAGCTGAAATCTCTACAACTGTTCACTCAAAATTAGCTGCCAAAGGAAAAATAATAATCTTTTATATTCAATGATTTAGTCTGTAATCAACAAGCCTGACTATGTTTGTTAATACAAGCACTATTTCACCAGATTCTCCTCTTCAGTCTTGTCACATCAAGATATGTGTGTATCAGGAAACCCGGAACCTTTAAAAGTCACGTGATATACTCCCATCACGTGATCATCACTGGCGTCTTCAGTCAGCGTCAAACAAACACATGAAAACATCACCTTTCTTCTTATTTATTTGGTTTCATCGTCTTAATTAGTAATATTCGCTGTCGTAAATATTGATAGATACGGAATATATTCATACGGTTGTGCCGTGAAGCGTATTTTTGCATATGACAAGTGTTTTGTAAGCGCTTACTGTGGGTGCTTCATCTCAGCTGTGCTTGTTTCCATAGAAACGAGTAGTGCTAACGGATGCTAAGCTGAAAATATAACGTTACATCTCTGTGCGTCCGATTATGGATGATTTCTAATGTTATGGAAGCGATGTAACTCATCTGTTTGGACATGATGTGAAGTTATTGAAGGTAATGTTTAGAACTACTCGAGCTGTAACGTTATGTGTAATGTTAATGTGTTATATTAAGGAGAAAATAGCTGCTATAGGCTGAAGCTTAACGTTATGCCAACACTTGAATTCTGATCGTCTCAGTTTTAATATTTAACGACATATAGCTGGCCTGTGATGTATTACTCCGATGTAGGGTAGCATACATGTTATTAATAATGTGTCTATATTTCGTATTTTTAGCTTTATTAAGTTAGCCCTCTATACAGGGTATATTTAACGTTACTGTATTTAAATGTTAAATGTTACTGATTTAGGCACACTTGACATGAATCTTTGTTTCTCATGATTTTGAAATTGCTTTATATGGACAAATTATTTTATTTGTTTGTTGGTTTGTTTTATTGCTTAACGAGTTAGGTCAGATACTGAGGAAAAGCAGGCAACAAGTAAGTTATCCAGCATACATACTGTTTTAAAAGCATTCCAGGAATCTAAACTTTGTGGGAATGTACTGTGTAGACTGTGTAAGTTACTTCCCACCACTGTTACTAGCCAAACACACCTTACTTAACACCTTGCTTCTCTAAGCAGGAGATCACCCGTAGAGAAGAGATCACACATCCCGAGGAGCGATGTCTCAGTTCTCCAGCGAGGATGAGGCAGAGCTCCAGACCCTGCTGCGAGAGCTCCTGAAAAGTGTCAAAGACAGAATCTCGGGAGCACCATCGGTAGAATGTGCCGAAGAGATCTTGCTTCATTTGGAGGAAACTGACAAGAACTTTCACAAGTGAGAGATCTACCTTTTACAGTACCTGTTAAGCCTGATTGTGATTACTATTTGTTTGACCTGTTTTTGTGGTCTCCCTCTGTTTTTCAGTTATGAGTTTGTGAAGTATCTGCGGGAGTATGTGGAGAGCAGTTTGGGAGCGGCTATTGAAGAAGAGACTGAACATTTTACCAGGGGTGATAGTCATGCTATTGGGTCCGGACAGGACAGTCTGGTTCACGCTGTTACTAAGAGGACTAGGGAGTCCACACAGTATGTGTTTTTATAATTCCCCTTACCATGTGTTTATTTATATGATAAGAGGATTTTGTGGAAGTTTCCTTACTGCATGATGCAAACAAATCTGCATCAATGCAATGAACAAAGTAAACATTGTCAGAAATATTTTGAAACTGAAATGAATGATGAAATGCTGTGATGAAAGTGAAAGTACCATGTGTTTTCAAGTAACTGGATGCTTTCTCATTGCATGATGCAAAAGATATCTGCATCAATGCAATTTTGAAAGTAGTACGGTAAGTTCCCATTAAAATTTTTTTTTTTTTAAAAATCAACAAAAAGCTCTAAGCTGTGATCCGACCCAAACCAACCATCTCCAGGCTAAATCACAATATTACAACCACTAGCCTCTTTCACACAGTAATCCCGGTAAATTAACGTAAAATTACCAGAATTACTTTTCCGGTAAATACGCAAATGTGCTGTTCACACAAGCAACAGCGTTCCGTCTTTTAATGTAATTTATGATAAAATCAACTACTTATCCCATAAAGCTTTGCTAATTACATAACTGAATTATAACAGTAGAATATGAAATTACATATTTTAAATCATTATATGAACAATGTATATTTTAACTTTATTTCAAAATACACTACCCTTTAAGAACTTGAAGTTAGGCTATGCTCGCTAACCATTTAGTTAAAACAGTAACATTTTGAAATATTATTACAATATAGCTCAATCAAAATAACTCTTTTGTATTTTTATATATTTTAAAATGGAATTTACTCCTTTTATTATTATTATTTTATTTATTATTATTACATTTGAACATATTTGTGCTGCTTAATGCTTAATATCTACTTAAAAATGTTGGCAATCATGGTGCATTAGTAGTGTATTCAGATGTATTCAAATATATAACTTGATTATGTTATTATCAATGCTTCATGTGAGTGGTTTCTGTTTTCATTGTTACAGCATTTTTTCTGAGTATGGGTAGTTTAGTTCATCACCATAAATTTAGTTAGATGGTATATCTGTCTTGAAATGTTTATGTTTTTGTTAAAAATCAATGATATGTGGTGTGTCCAAAAGCACAAACTGTCTGAGTAGGTACTACATTTGACTTGAACTTTGACAACCGTTAAAAAAGTATGTTCTATGTAAAATTAATTTGGGAAGTATGAATGAAAATCGGATGTACATCCGCCATGTTGTTACTGTCACGTGACCTACCAGTATCAGTTGCGTCGCTTCACTGCTATTCATAAATCCTCTCCTGTGTCCTCATGGGTTAGTAAAGTGCCCAAGTACTTTTCACCTGGTGTTTTTCGAATTCAGACATACTACTCAGTTGGTGTACTGTTATTTCACATACTTTATATTAGGAAAGTATTCGATTTCAAAAGCAGCAATGATGTTTACTTTTAGTTCCTCACAAACTTGAATAGAAAATTATGATGTTAACATGATTTTGTTTATTTTTCTGTAGGTATAAACAGATGATGCAGACTCTGAAACAGACCATGATGGTGGTTGTGGAATCACTAATCAATAAATTTGAGGAAGATCAGCTTAAGAAAGAGGAAATGGACAGGAAGATCCAACATGAACAGTCAAGCAACCATTACACTGACAACTGCTCTGACAGTGACTCTTCATTCAATCAGGTTGTTGTTGTATTCATTTAAATAAGTTACAGGGGCTCCAGTGTTTTCTTTGACATAGCATATCCCAGTGTTTACCTCAGCTTTTCATACCATAGACTGAATCACTAACTGATGTCTTTGATTTCTTCACGTAGAGCTATGCATTTATCAAACACGAACAATTGCAAGTCATCGCTGAGAAGCTTGACCCCGGTAGACCACGAGAGGTGAAAGCTCCTTCTCTGATTTAGCCACTTGCCATTGTTTCAATTATAGAAAGGAGATAACTGTGGTTTTGAGTCAGCATGAAGCCGCCATCCTGATGTTTTTAACTGCAGGTTCGCTGGGAAGCTTTGCAGTCTCTGTGCTATGCCCCTCCCTCTGATGTCCTGAGCTGTGAAAGCTGGACTGGTCTGCGCCGAAACCTCTCTGCTGCACTCACTGACCCTGACCCTGAGCTCAGCGTAAGAGCTAAGTGCTAAATAAGCACTGACCTTTGCCATGGTCCAAACAGCAAAACTGTTTCCCTAGCTGCTTAATGTGGAAATATGAGGGCCAACATTTTCAAGCAGTTTCCAGAGAAGTGGTTTCATGTGGAACGGGAGGCCATGACCCGTTCCAGTGTTAGTATTGAATCCCACAGTATGTGGGAGTTTATTAAATATTTTGAATCGGGGTTATTATAGCTAACTAAATCCATAAAAAATATGTTCATCACTTGAAATAAAATAAATGTGAACTGAAATAAAATTAAACAGAAATAACTTAAGGCTGGAATACACTACAGAACTTTTAAAATCTGACCCGATTTGAAAACACTAGTGGCCGGTTTCACAGACTAGGCTTAAAAAATACACTTATTTCTAGTCTTAAGCCTAGTCTCAGACTAAAATGCAAGTTTGAGCTGTTTTAACTGAAAGCAACTTGCACTGACAAATCTTAAAATATGTCACTGCCATTGTTTTGTCTCAAGATGCACACAAGTGATGTTTTTTTTTAATGCACCTTTATAAAAACTACTTAAATGTCCTAATTGAACTAAGGCCTTATCCTGGCTTAATCTAAGCCTTGTCTGTGAAACCAGGCCTTGGCATCATGACCACAGTAGTTGTAGCGACTGTGTTTGCTGAGAGAGTCAAAAAAACAAAAACGAGCCAAGCGCATTTGGATGCGGTCTTGGGTGGGTAGGTGCGGTTGTAATGGACTCTACAGATTACAACGGGAGTTAGAGGTGAGTGGCGCGGTCAGTTGTTTTATCTGAGCTGATGAGTCAAATATTGAGGCTAATTTGTTACTTGTGTTCTGTTAATTTGCTTTTGGATTGTTATTGTATTTGTATTGCATTTTAATGCAACACTGGTAGATAGAGGACAGCTTTGGTTTCAGTAGCTACACATCATACACTACGATATGTATTCTAAAATCGGCTCAAAATATCAAACGTTTTGATATCCTTCAACTGGATGGAATCCTAATCTGAAGCTAAAAAACTAAAAAAACTCCAACTGCCCAAAATCTGCAGAATGGCACAGACTTTCTGCAACTATTGTCGCCTCGTAAATCTGAAAATATGAGCAAAAGACGTGCAGTGTATTCCAGCCTTTAGACATATTTTCTGTCAGCTAGTTGCCAAGCAACATTTCTCATTTTAATTTACCGTAGTTTAATTTGATGTACTAAAATAATTAAACTAAAACTGAAATAAATAAAAAAAGACAAAAACTAAAAACTAATAAAAATGACAACATGATTACTAAAACTAACTAAAAGTATAATTGAGGTACTTTAATTAATATCTTAATGATACTAAAATAACACTGTCATGAACATATTCTGTTTTCACAGGATAAAGTCCTCCAGTTTTTTGCAAAAACCTTTTCGTCTTCTCCATTAAATGTGACTAAGGATATCTACGCTAGCATCGGTAATAGTTTAAACTTACTTTAGCAAGATGCAATATGCTTTAATATTCAGTATATATGAGAATGAACAGTCTGTCAATTCGTTCTCATGAAGTGTCACCATCTCTTTTCAGCAAAAAGCTTGGAGGCTCATTTCCTGTATCACAAGTTGAGTTTTCCCAGCGGTTCTTCAAGTATTGATGCGAACAGACCAGATATGGCCCGTCTCCTCAAACAGGTATATGTCATTTCTTTTCTCCTTGCATATGAATAAAGTTTAGGTAGCTTGGATATAGATGAACTTCTTTCTTTTTGGTCGTTCCAGATGCGATTAATGAACGACTTTCAAAAGGAAGTGACAACATTTTGGATACGACATCCTGAGAAGTGAGCTTTCATGTTTCAATCCCATTTCCCAAATATGGTATACTATATCTTGATTGTGTCAGATTCTTGAAAATAAATGAGTTTTCATCCTGTGCTCTAGGTACATGGAGGAAATAATTGAGAACACCCTCTCTCTTCTCGCTCTGCATTCTGAACAAGGCATGAGCAGTCCCGGCTCAGAGAAATCCCTAGAGCCTATACACTTAATCTCTCTGCTGGATATCAAAGCCACCTGGTTTAAGAAATGGATGGTGAGCCAAGTTTTTATCAAAGAATAAACAAAACACACGAATGCCATTTTCTAAATTAAGCTGTGTTCACACTGCCAGCGACATGCAGCAACAAAGCGACATGATCCCAGTGTTGATTTCCGTCGTTATGAGCGACAGTGACCATTGGCGACAGGATGTAGTAGTGTTCAGCAATGCAAGTGTGAAGAGTGACTTCCGGGAACGACAACCAATAGGAGTGTTGTCAGCTGACCGCACGTAATTCATCACTGCATCCTGTAGTGGAGAGTGTCAGCGGCAAGATGGAGAAGTTGTTTTAGCACTTTAACTTTCCTATACTCTAACGACAAGAAAACTGATTTGGTGTCTACAACATGGAATAACATCCATGTACAGTATGTCACTCGTAAATGTTACTAAACCAGTAGTGAGAACGCCCACTAGGCGTTCAGCAGTGTGAACACAGCTTTAGAATTTTTGTTTTTCCATGTCCAATATATAGATTGATATTTAATGATTGATTGACATTGATTGATGTTCTTGGTGTGAAGCAGGCCTTTTACACTAAAAACAAATAAAACACAATTCAAGATATATTCTCTGAAATTCAGTTTTGCTTCTCAAGTAAATGTATCTTCTTTTAAGGATGTTTAGGTATGTTTACTGGAAAATATGACCAATACTGATTTAAAAAATGTTTTTCTACTCAAACGATCAGAATACCATTAAAATTGATGTCTAAATATTGTTTTCTAGCATGGCTACTACAGCAGAACCGTTGTCTTAAGACTTCTTGAGAGGAAATACAAGTCTTTGGTGAGTTATTCTATGTGGTATGCACAAACCAATGGTTGTGAACGCTAACTTCTAGCCTTAACCATAAAATCCAGGGAGAATGGAATACTAGCATACTGAAAACTGGATTCTTTTTTATAATATGTACAGCACTACAATAGACAATTTCAAACAATATTATACTGCATTGTTGTCACATGATGAGCCAGGATCCCCGCGGCTCCTTAAAAGGTCCTTAATTCAGTTTCATTCAATTTAAGGGCATAAAAAGTCTTAAATATATCTCTATATGTATATATGATTTAAATGTGAATGTTTAAATCAATGACGCTGAAACTGTCATCCATGTATTTGTCACATCATGTCTTGATTACTGTAATGCCCTTTTCATTGGCCTATCTGCTAGCTCCAATTCCAAATTGCAATACATTCAAAACTCTGCTGCTAGAATACTTACTCACACCAAACGTTCTGCCCATATCACCCCAATTTTGTACGATCTTCTCTGGCTTCCAGTGGCTTACCGTATTAAATTCAAAATCCTCCTGCTCACTTTTAAATCTCTGCACAGCTTGGCTCCCCCCTATCTCTGTAACCTATTCCACCCCTACACTCCGACTCGCTCTCTACGATCCTACGACTCTAGCCTTCTCGTTGTCCCTTGGCATCGCCTAGCTTCAATGGGGGGCAGATCATTCAGTGTCATTGCACCCACACTATGGAACTCTCTCCCCCGATCACTCTGTTGTGTTAATACTATTTCTGAATACTCAAAACTCATTTATTTTCTGAATGTCACCACTACATTTTGTTGTGTCTGATTGTATGCTGTATGCTGCCCCATCTACATAATTATCCTTTACTGTACTTTTACTCTCATCTGTTGTTGACCTACAACCTACTGTTGTTTTGTTTGTTATCATTGTCCATTGCCATTATTGTTGCTTGTGCATTGTAAAGTGTCCTTGAGCCCTGGAAAGGGGCTATATAAATAAAACTTATTATTATTATTAAATGCTGAAATTAATTAATTAATTAATTAATTTGTCAAAACCTGTATTTGAACTAGTTGTTTAAATTTAGGTTTTTTTTTTAATCGTCATTTAATGGTTTAGTATAAAATAGACACCCTCTCATATGGTATTTAATTTGTGTAGGTCTTAAAAAGCCTTACATTTTATTTTGAAAACATTGCAGATACTCTGGAGCATGTTTAGCGGCATCAAACTAAAAATATTCATACTGTACATTGCAATTGTTTTATACTTTGTAGTAAGATAATATGCTATTCCGAACATAATCAATATTCACTGGCTGGTTTAAATGTGTAAAATGAACAGTTTTTCAAGTGTCTCTAATAATAGTATGTGTTCAAGTGATTATTCATCTTTTTTCCCAGATTGTTAATGCTCTGCAGCAGTGCATTTATTACTTCGATTCCTGTGATTCAGTAAGAGAGGAAACCTTGGAAATTATCCACAGCCTGGAACATCAGCAGATTGGTACGGCTGAACTTTTGCCCACAATGTTCACATGCAGTATCATACTTTATCTGACAACCTGGCTTATGTTTTCCCCTGTGTGCTGTTACAGACTGTCCTCTCATGGTCAACTAGCTAGATTATCATTGCCAGAGATAATTCCAAGGGTTTGTGGACTTACAGTGAAAAACCTTCCCAGAATTCGGGTTCTGTATTGTAGCTGGAAGATTCACATGAAAAAACAAAACACCCAAACATACACACAGTATTGACTGATTGCGTTATCTTCTGCTGCATACACAAGTCATAGCTACCAGACTTTCAAACCTCCCACAGCTGTAAATATATTCGTAACACATCAGCTGTATTCAAAAGACGCTTATCTAGTTTCTGTGAATAGGGTCAGTTTATGATTCTTCCACAGAATTCTCCTTTAAGGTCACTCATGTAGTATTACTATAGATTTCAGATGTCATATTTCGGAGGAATCATTCTACCTTATCTTGAAAAGGTCAAACTACTTGTAAAATTGCTTACTGGGTGAATACTACAGAAATATGTACTGGTGAAATATTTATTTTTCTTTGTTTCACCATTTGGCATGGCAATTTAGTAGTCCACACACATAGTCTCAATAGTGTAATGTATGCAGATGTTTTACTGTTGAGATTTTTTATTATTTTTTCCTATTGTTCCTAATGAGGATTCTCATTAGATGAATGCAATAAAAAAAATTTATAATAATAAAAAAAAAAAAATGAATGGTCCTAAACATTTTTATACAAAATTCTATTCTTTTGTAAATTTTCTATGGTCTATATAATTTAAAGGGTTAGTTCACCCAAAAATGAAAATTCTGTCTGAGTGAGTTCACCTAGTGTAACAGCACAGCGCTACTTCAGAACGTAGGCTCACTATTGGCCGACGCTGGTAATGAGTGTGATGCTGGCCAATAGTGAGCCTACGTTCTGACGTACAACCCAGAAGCGCTGCGCTGCATAGAAGAAAATGAATAGTTGAATAAAGTCGTTATTTTAGTTTTTTTTGCGCACAAAAGGTATTCTTGTCGCTTGATAAACTTAAGGTTTAGCCACTTTAGTCACATGGACTATTTTAACGATGTTTTTACTGACTTTCTGGGCCGGCAGGTTTCAATTACAATAGAAGCCTATGGAGAAGTGAGACAGCTCTCAGATTTAATCAAAAATATCTTAATTTGTGTTCCGAAGATGAACGAAAGTCTTACGGGGTTGGAACAACATGAGGGTGAGTAATTACTAACAGAATTTTCATTTTTGGGTGAACTAACCGTTTAATATTTCTTTCTTTTTGTTATGGGACTTGGACATTTATTTTACGAGTTTTGTGAGACCCAGTAAATAACCCATCTACTTTTTCCTCTAATGCTTTTTGAATATGCAACCTTTCTGCACTCAGGTTTGTGTAAAGATTCAAATTTATATTTCAGTGCTAATTTAGAAACAGGAGGTCACATGCAAATGACTGAATCCATTTAGAGCATGCTCTGCGAATGAGATCTTCTTGTGTTTTGCCCCTCAGGCCCTGCTCGGAGAACTCTCTACACTTCTAAAGAGCTGGAGTTTGTTTATTTCGTTCACTCGCTGTGTGTGCTCGGGAGGCTTGTGATGTACACTAATGGAAGGAAACTTTTCCCCATTAAAGTGAAGAAGCGGAGAGGTAAGTTTGGAGGGGAAGAAGCAATCATTTTTGAGAATAACAAGTCTGACTCACTAAACAATCTCTACGTGTTAAACTCTACGTGCCAAACGTGTTAAACTTGTCGCTTGTTGTTTCAGATCCGGTAACTTTGACCGACTTGGTTGTGATTCTGATCAATATCATATACCAACACCCAAAACCATCCTGTGGTGAGACACCACATGCAGGTGCGTCATAAGAGTACCAAAGTGATAAACTCTGATTAACTCAACCACGCCTGCCCATAAGGAGTGTGTCTAAGTGTATGATTTTTTTATGACCTTTTTATGTAAATGTTAGTGCTAATATGGGTGTGCCAGATCATCCTTCTAACAGTGACACAACTGTATCAGAACAAGGGTCTATTATGTCTTCCTCGGGTTAATGAACTTACTCACTTCCTTGGGAGGATAACTTATTCAATCTTATCAAGAAAACTTACAGGACTGCACTTTATACAGTTCCAGTGATTATCTTATTATGTGGAGCTGATTATTGATTTGGATGCTTATTTAAAGGGAAACTAGTTCACCAAAATAAAAATAAAAAATCATTATTTTCTCACTCTCATGTTGTTCCAAACCTGTATGACTTTCTTCATTTTTTTAAAATTGTATTAAAAAAGTGACCATCAGATTATTCAACATTTCTCATTTTGCGTTCCACAGAGGAAAGAAAGTCATACGAATTTGGAGTAAATGATGACAGAATTCTCATTTTCAGGTGAACCAGGCTTTAACCAGGTAGCGTAAATCACTTATTAAGGCACATACATTTTTTTAAAGGGGTAGACTTTTTTAAAAGGACTACTTTTCTCTTGGTTTGTCTTTGTCGGACATGTTGTGCTGCACTTTAAATCATTCATTAACTGAGATCTGCAGTAAAACTAAAGGCCAACAACAGAGGTTTCTTTAAGCTCCCAACGAGTTATCACAGGTATGTATGTCTGTGTTTGTGTATTCTCTAGACTCCCTGTCTCCCACTCATCTTGTGATGGAGGTGTTAAGGACCCTGTGTGACCGCATTGAGTGTGCTGTGGAGTGTCTCTACCAAATCCCTGTTATAGAGACTCTGCTGGCTCCCGTTATCACCCTGCTTAAAGGAAAGCTGGTCAGCTGAACATGAACACTTCCATCAGCACATGTGCTATCAAGAGTCTAGACATAATTATGAAATGTGAATTCTGCTTCACTTCTGTATTTTACTTTTTTCATTGAATTTATTTGTGTGATCTTCTCAAATAGTGCACATTCTCGTCCATTATAGTGGCTAAAGTTCCTGAATACTGAATAGGCATGCTAATGTGGGTAGTTTTATGTTAATATGTTGTTGTTTTTGACATCAATTCTATGATGATGTCTTTCTTTTTTTTCTTAATTGTATTTATTTATTTAAAAAAATACATATGGTAACATACTACTACTATACATACATAACTTTATACAGGGTTTGTACAACCATGACAAAATTTCAAAACGAGACATTTTTGCGATTTATATTCCCACAACATTAGAATATGTCTATGCGACATTTTGTAACGTGTAACATATAACTTTTACAGTTTTTTAATATTTTTGAAATAATATTTATGCTAATCAAGGCTGAACTGATTTGGTTAAAAATACAATAAAAGTAGTAACATTTTAAAAATATAATTAAAATATAAGATTGAAAATGAAGAATGAAATAATTTTTTCTTGTAATGACAAAGCTGAATTTTCAGCATCATTACTCCAGTCTTCAGTGTCACATGATCCTTCAGAAATCAGACATTTTAAATTATTATCAATGTTGAAAACGGTCTTTACTGTCATACATTTAATGCATCCTTCCGGTTAATTTCTTTTCTTTCCCTTTTTTTTTTTAAATCTTGCTGACCTCAAACTTTTGAATGTTAGTGTACTGTACATAGTGTGCTATTTTATTTCAAAAGTCCAAAAGATACAGTATATAGGACAAATGGATTTTAGAGCAACTCTATGACCGTACATATAGGAGAGGATTTGATGCCATTTCCATGATGTGTCGTCATTGAATACGTAAACAGAATATTTTTAGTTTCACTACAGAAGAAGCCTGTTCATTTTAATCCTGAAATAAAACTGTAAGCTTCTATATAACATCTCATCATAGACCTCATCTGCAGCATTTTATATGCATTATACTGTTCACCCCAAGCATTTTCAATTTGTCTTTTGTTGCAGCCCAAATTAAATTCCCTAGAAAGTGCCCTGACTCACATAGCAGACACCCTGGCGAGGATCGCTACCACTGAACGAGGTTTATCACTCCTGCTTTATGACAGAAATCTCGTCTCGGCCGAGGGTGAAAGGTAAGTAAATCTAATTTTGCTCTCAGGTTACATTCATTATTTTTTCTTCCTGCTAGTGTCATCTCAGGCTAGTCAGCACTTGCGCCATATATATCATCAGCATGCATAGAATGAAAGGATGAGCTTCTTAATAAAAGAAAGGACCCTTTGACACCAGTGTCTTTAGTGAGATGAGTTGTAACATACTCTATAAAAGAAACAAAAGATGAATGCCATTAAAATAGAATCCACCTTATTTTGCAATGCAAAAGTAAGCTTTGAGAATTCTGATTTATTAGATTCTACAGGTAAATAACTAGAAGAATAACAAAGTGCAGTATTTGCGCTACAAACCAGTGTGTTTATGATTACGATTAATAAAGACAAATAATATGATAACAAATACCAGTTTGCAATATCAAGCAACATAACAGACTGTCTGTACAGCTCAAATAATTGGAAACCGAAGACACCAGAAGCCTTGCACATTCAAGTTACAAATGTCTGCACCTACTCTTACGTTTAAATAAGTTGAATAATATAGAATAGAATTGTCCAGGTTGTTATCCACTACGCTATACCACACCACACTAATCCAGCAGTTAAAATCAAAGTTTCCATTTCTAAATTAACATTCACAGATCCAGGCACTTCAATATTTTATCAAATTGGAATAACATGGTACTAATATGTTGTGCTGTTATTTCCACAGTATTTCAGCTGCACATGTGGTTATGCAGTTTACTCAGAGGCTGTTGGCAAAAGAGCTGCATGTGTTCAGTGAGCTGGAGATTTCTACTGCTGTGAGCGGGGCCTTTATCTTCGTCTGTCGGCAGATGTACAACACCTGCGAGGGGCTGCAAGTTCTACGGCCATACACCCTACATGAGTGCATCGCTAAAGCCTGGAGAACGGTGAGCTTTATACACATTAGCCTCACTAGTTCAGTTATTACCAATGCACTCTTTAGCTGACTGTTTTATCCAGACTAACAATTAGTAAATATAATATTATGATGACCTTGTGGGCTTTAAACCTACAATCCTTCAGTTACAAGCCCAGATCTTTAGCCATTATGCCATAGCACAGGGGTCGGCAACCTATGGCACATGCGGGATGATCACAGAAGCTTGCGAACGGTTTGTCGGGTCTTTGCGTTAGCACAGGTTCAAATAATCCACGGCTAGCTGTGCATAAACGATTTTTAAGCATGACGTGGAGGCGAAGAACCAAAGGTTGCCTCTGTGAAATGCATTAAAACCGTTTAATGCACAGCTAGCCGTGGATTATCCCGCTTATACCATGACCATTTGCCAGCATCGGAACTTAAAGCTGTTATTGATGTTTGCAGGCAGCGCAATATTTTACTGGAAGGTAAAATACCTCGCTCCGCTTTGAATCAGGCACACAGAGATAAAGTAAGATCACGTTTATTTGAATGAATAAATTATAGCATTTATTTCAAAATTTACTTCAATATAGTGATGTAATGCCCTCGTTGCTGAGAAATATAATGTAGCGATTCAGTAGCGAAGCTACATATTACTAAAAGTCACGGGGCAGCGTTCATAACAAATGTCTGTGCTCCTGAATGTTTCTGTGTGTGCACAGCGTGATTTCTGTGTGTGCGCTTCAATGAAAACAGCGCATTAAAATACAATGGTGATTCAACTGACTTGGATTCAACTGATAACCTGTGCATTCAATGGATTTATTGTCAATCAAGTATTCTGACAGACCATAATATAATAGTAGGTAATGTATAGCTCCTAACTTAATAAAACAGGCTGTGTGACTATGAGGAATGATTGCCTCAAAATGTTCATCTGTGTGCAAGTTCGAGGGACTTGATCTAAATGAAATCCATACACCTCTCGTGTCAGTGGCCGGCCCCTGTCATAGCACCTTTGAAATAGGTGTATATTAAGGGGTTCAAGCGCGTAGCGTAGTGGATTTTTTGAAAAACCTACTTTTGCGGACTAGTCCTAGGTTTTTGGTAGCCTGGCTCCGCCCTCCTACGCACTTCCGCTCAATTTTATTTTCCTTCAGTACTACGTCTGGGATTGTGCTGTAGACTTTGGTTTCCAGAAATCATTTTTTTACCGGTCCAATCAGCGAACAGAGGGAGTGGCTGAGAACGATGACGTTGATGTAGCGCGTCAGTTTGAGTTGGAGTTCAGTAATGGCAGCGGAGAAAGACGTGAGAAAATCTATTCGGTCCGTTGTTGCAAAACTGCCGAATATCCAGAAGTTAAAGCCGGAGCAAGATCAATGTTTGCTAAGTGTTGTTGGTGGCCATGATGTTGTGGCCCTCCTCCCCACGGGGTTCGGGAAAAGTTTAATTTCCCAGCTCACTCCGCTAGTGGTGAATGAGTTAGCTAAGGCGAACGATAGGATGCAAAGCCGATAGTTGTTGTCGTCTCCTCTTGTTGCACTAATGGAGGACCAAGTGAGGGAGGCAGAAAGGTTAGGAGTTTGTGCTGGGCAGCTCGGCGTGCACGATGATCACTGTACAGCATTTGCGGCAGATCCGAAACGACCGCAGTGGCGTATTGTTAATGATTACACCCAGCTTCGACAGTTGACTGAATACATCACTGTCCTTAGTGTCAAATATACATTTAGAATTTAGAATTGTTCCTTGAACTCTTAAATTCGATGAACAAAACATGCAGCTCTCGTTGACAGACATCTTATTCTAAACATAATCCTCTGATCATTCGGACTTGTTTTTTTTTATTGCTTAAAACAATACACAAGTAATAACAGAAAACATAATACAAAAACAAACAAAAAATAATAATAAAAACAAAACAAAAATAAAACAGTAGGGGGATAATATAAAATAAACATGAACAAGTTAAGAGAATTACATGACACTGAAAAAAGGAAAATAATTACAAACAGATAATGTTTTTAAGGCTTTTTTTGTTCTCAGACAACTTAATTGAAAAGAGGTATTTTTAAAATTCTTTCACAAATATAAGAAAGAGAGGTTTAGCATTTAGATATTTAGATTTATGAATATGGAATTCGGACTTGTTGTTTCCAGCCGGTTTCGGCGCATGACATACGTCACGACCACACGTTAGCGATTGGCTATGGCAGATCCTGAGTGACGCTGGGCAGATCCAATAGTTTTGAACTTTAACAGAGAACCCGCCTACAAGGAAGTAAACGTTTCTCAATGGAGCGAGGCCAGACTCTCTGTACAAATGAAATGTACGAGAGTCTGGTAGAACCAGGCTAGGTTTTTGGCCCAATCGGAACCAAACCTATTTGTTTATTCTATTTGTCAATAATTACAAAAAAAAATTGAAATTCCTATTCACGGTCTCTTAAGGGCCAAAACGTTGTAAGTAGACGGAGCCATTTTTACTAAAGTGGCTATAACTCGTGAACGGTATGAGATATTTTCACCAAACATATATGTTAGAGCTCATTCTGTGGTCGCGTGAAAAAGGACGCTGCGACTGGCCACTTGCTGGTGCTATAACATGGACAAAATTTAAAAATGCGGTGTCTTTGTCTATGGTGCCAAGACTGCCTTTAGGACATTCACGTACTGTATCTCGAAAAAGGCGGCCAGTGAAGTTTGAGCAGCTATCAGACAAGGTTAACGGAGGCCGATCAGAACGAAAGTTACTGGGACTGTTTGACTCACGGCCCTAGAGGTCTGTGAGAAACTCGAAAGAATTCGGCCATCAGGGAGCTCCTTCGCGTGATCGGACCAATGGTTATAACTGTTAAAAAGCTTTTAAAAGTATATTTCCTATGGTAAATTGCCTATATTGGCTGTAAATGGTCTTTTTTCTTCTATGATTTAAGTGGTTACATGCTTGCTAAATAAATCATAATATTGTTTTATACATGAGCTTAAAGGCCTTAAAATGCTTGAACCCCTGTTAATTGCTGCTTGCAGCTACATTTATTATTAATGTTACTGTATATACATGAAATTATTGTAGCGATTATACGCACGTATAAATATAATTAATTATTATTCATAACGGATTATGATCAATAATTAATAATTTAATTATTTTCAGAATTTACTGTAGCAAAATCAATAGTTTGATCAGTTTATCAGTTCATCCAATGAACGGAAAGCATAAACAATTATTAATTCTAGGAAATATAATATCTTCTTGGCCAAGAAAGACTAATTCCCAGCTAACAGCTAAATTAAGAAATAAATCAAGGGTCAAAGCATAGGTAACTTAGATCGAAGTTCAAGACAATAAATCTGTAAGCACATAACACAAGTAATGCTTCTTTTTTCAAATACAAACAATACTTTATTGATTATAAGCCTATGACTAACACACATAAAACTAATATAACACAAACACACGCACACGCATTCATACAAGTTGAAGAAAGACAGAGAGTGAGGAAGAATGAGTTTTAGGAGTTAGATGGTGAGATCCCAAGTTTCTATATGCACTTAAAAGACATGACCTGAACGAACCATCAATAATTAATTTCACCCTTGTATCGTTTCTTAGGCGGGTAATTCAATTTGATATTAAAATGCACGTGCAGTTTCAGCTAAAAGTCTGGAGGTACTTGCTTGTCCTTGCGTTGCTTTTGGGGATTCCCTTTTGTCGGTGTGAAGGTGTCCCCCGGGTCCGTGGTTTTGGCTGGCGGTCTCCTCGTGCTTGCTAGATCTTGGGCAGCCAGTCACGTGGTGTGTTGGCGGATGGATGAAAGTCTTTGAAGTTGGAAGCGTGTTGCAGTCGAAACGTTTTAAACGAAACTTTGCAGCAAAACTTAACTTAGAACCGATACTTTTAACGGAAAAGAAACAAACTAAGAAAAGAAAGAAAAGTGTGACGAGATGGCTTGAATTAAATCTGTTTTAACCCATATCTTGATTTGGGTCATTTGTCTCTGCGTCTACATGGTTACTATAACCATCGTCGGCTCCACCCGGCTTGTTCTGCCGAAAGAGAGCATCACAAGAGAGCAGAGGGCAAGAGCCCCAGAGAACCAGAGAGAGCACAAGAGAACGAGAACACAAGAGAGCCTCACAAGAGCATCACAAGAGAGAGATTCTGTGTTCGGGTCTAAGATTTTAAACTCAAAATGTTTGTCCCGCCTCCTGGAGGAATTTGGAATTCGGACAATAAGATACTATATGGTTATTTGAGAAGGGGGTCTTTCTATCCCCCCCCTTTCCTCTCATCGTGAATCATGTGTTATCTGTGGTCTGCTTACTCATCAGCTCGAACAGCGGATTATAAGAGCATAATGATAGGAAAAACGACACTTTCATTCCAGCATCTCACAGTTATAACAATTACATGACTTAGATGTGATCTAAGCAGAATAGACACATACAGGGGTTTTAACACAATATATAATTATGTTATGTTATATAATTTTGATTATGGGTCAGTCAAGAATTGTTCTGGGATGAGTTTTATGGATTTTGATATGGAGGAAAGTCCTTATGTGTGTGTGTGTGTGTGTGGGTGTCCTTATGGCCATATCTGTCGCATTCGTGGTGTGTACCACGTGAGGGTTTAGTTCGCAAATGGTTGTCTTCAAGACAAAAGGGTAGTTTTCTATGGACATCCACAAGGAGACGTACTAATTGATGAGGGGAAAACTAGCTCGGGACCCTGAATGGTTCAGTCTGTCTAGTCGCAGGGGTCAGGTGACTTCTTGTTAGGGCCTCTTGTTTCACCATTTCTGAACAGATCTGTTCTTGCCAAATTATAAAACATTGACAACGTCCTTCCTTTAGTTAAACAACAAAGGGTCTTCTGGCTTCATAGCCTCGGGGTAATCTGGAATATGCCGCCTCTTGTGTTTGATTATGTATGACAGCTTCACTTGTGTGGGTTTCATTCTCGTTGTCGCTACATTATATACTGTGTATATATATATTCAAACGTAAACGAATGAAAGGTAAAAGCACACATTTCGAGTTGAAGGCTGCATTTATTTGATTATAAAAACAGTAATAATTGTGAAATATTATTACAATTTAAAAATAACTGTTTTCTATTTGAATATATTTCAAAAAATTTAATTGATTCCTGTGATGGCAAAGCTGAATTTTCAGCATCATTACTCCAGTCTTTAGTGTCACGTGACCCTTCAGAAATCATTCTAATATGCTGATTTGGTGCAAGATACATTTCTTATTATTATCAATGTTAAACGTTATATGAAATAGACATCTTTTCTAAAAAATTAAAATGTCTTTACTGTCACTTTTGATCAATTTAAAGCACCCTTGCTGAATAAAAGTACTATTTCTTTAAAAAAAATCTTATTGAACCCAAACTTTTAAACCATAGTGTATGTCCTGGCGTACCACAGAAATGACTGTGTCTAGAAACTTTTTTTGTTTTGTTTTAAATTTATGGATAAACTATAATACAATTTCAGTAAACATGGTTTTTCCAGTTGCCTTTTAACAAAACAGAATTCTGCTTATTGGAAATTTTATTTTTTGTTATTATCAGTCCTCTCACAGCCAAAATCAAGCCTCCATTTTTTTTTTTTAGCTTATTCTGAACTGTTGCTTTAGAGCCTGCAGTATCTGTTCCCCAAGCAAAACAGTATTAATGTTGGAAGAAATGCTGAACGTCCAATCTCTGGGCTGTGTGAAGAGGATTTGTAGAATACACAAGCAGCAGTAAAGTGCTGCGCTATCAGTAATGAAACCTCCCGGGGGTTCCCCTGCCTTCAAAAAGGCTCAGTTCGAACGGTGTGAGGAATCAACATTGCATTCAACATGTCGTCTCATTATTTAGCCAATGGGTTTGAATCCCGTGTAGCAGACCAGCCTGACAGCGAATTCTCTTTCCCCGCAGACAAGCTCAATGTCAGAGAGAGTTCCCACTCCTGTTCCTGGAGCTCCCCCAGTGCTGGCTTCCCAGGAGTTGCAGAGCGTGTGAGTATCTCTCCATCATGCCTCCAGTGATCCTCCTGTTCTTGCATGAGCTGTTTGTTTCTGTGCTAAACTCAAGCTTGGCCTGCCAATGCTGTTTTGTGGGAATGAATCAACAAGAACAAGAAATAATTAACTTTATTCCTGAAACTTTTATCCTGGTTCTACAGGGTGGCCTGGGAAGAGATGCTGTTGGACAACCTGCTGAATTTTGCTGCCACACCAAAAGGACTGCTACTCCTCCAACAGACTGGAGCCATTAACGAGTGCGTCACCTACATGTTCTCAAGATTCACCAAAAAACTACAGGTAATATAATCAGATGCCACTTTCAAAAGCATTTTATTCTGATAAAGAATATTAGTGGCTAGTGATACTTATATTAAAGGGATTGTTCACCCAAAAAGTGTGGTCATGTGATCTCAACATGGTGGCCACCATAACTTTTCATAATATAATATAATATAATATAATATAATATAATATAATATAATATAATATAATATAATAACCTTGTGAACAGTATATAAAATGTATATAAAATCAATTTGTAGTGTACATTTATGCACAAGTTTTCATTACTTGAGTCTACTCGCTTGCCATTGGGGACATTTTTTTTGTTTTGTTTTTGCGCTAGATAATACAGATTTCCAGACTCTGGAATTTGAAGGATGTGTATTTCCTCCATTCCTTCTCTTATCTTAGGTCAGCAGGTGTGAGAAGTTTGGTTATGGTGTGATGGTGACCCAGGTGGCTTCCACAGCCCCAGGCATTGTGGCCTTGCAAAGCTCAGGTAGCTAGAAGTATTATTTATGACCAATTTCATATTCATCAAGAGAGTTAAGAACAACATCTTCCATATTTTCTCCTGACAGCTTCAGGCAGCAAAGGTCATGTTAAAACAATTATGAATTACATTGTTAGAGTTTCTGCAATCATTACATTTCCTGGTACTACTGATTAAGGACTCATGCACGCCGTTAGTCACTGAGACAACGTTGCTCAAGGGAAATGTTTTAACATGGAAACTAGGTTTTCAGGCTGTTAAAGGAGTTGAACTTTGAGTGGATTCGCAGGATTTTTCCAGACAATCGTGGTGGAGCTGTGGTCAGCCTTGGAGTGTGGTCGAGAGGATGTGAGGGTGGTCCATCCGAAATCTACTCCAATGGACCCTATTGACAGGAGTTGCCTCAAGGTTCTGACTCCCCTATCATTTATCTTGCAATTAATATTCAGAAATGTTTTGCTATTTACAGCTATTTAGAAACAAAAGCTATGCTTCATTGAGGTTATATGGATAAGGCTTCAATTTGCCAATTTCCACAGTCTGCCTATAAAAGCTACACTGAATAATTCCATAAATAAATGCAACAGTGCGCACAATGACCCACCAACCACTAAAGTTAATATGAAATTACATTCATTTTACCCATTTTACCTGGTTAACATTAGCCAGTAGCAAATTATTACATTTAATAAAAGATTATGAAAGCAGACCTTTTTCATTTTGTTTTGAATAAACTATTAAGGACGAACACTAAAAATCGAAATACTTTTTGACATTGTTTTGACCCCAAATATGGGTGATATATTTCTGAATGATTTTGAGTGAGTTTTGTGTGTGTGTAGTCCTTCCTGTCTCTAGTCAATCTGCTTTCTTCACCTCACGCTGTGTGGGAGCTGCTGGGACATCGAGCGCTTCCTAACAAGACAGAGTACAATCTGAGAGAGATGGCCACATCAGTTTTAGTGAGTATAACAAACTGGCCTATATATGTCTAGTCTCAGCTCACAGCCATGAACCGCCCACAGTCTGTTCACTGATCTTCTGATGACTAATTGTACACATAGCTAACTTGTATTGAGTGATTTCTCAATACAAACAGTATAAAAGTAGGAATTTGTCCGTGAGCGGTATGAGCAGTATAGTAATAATAATTTGTTACATTTATATAGCGCTTTTTCTGGGACCTCAAAGCGCTTCACATATATGGAAGGGGGGAATCTCCTCAACCATCACCGATGTGCAGCATCCACCTGGATGATGTGACGGCAGCCATATTGCGCCAGAACGCCCACCACACACCAGCTTATTGGTGGAGAGGAGACAGAGTGATGAAGCCAATTAGTATATAGGGATGATTAGGTATATATAGGGTTGTTTTATTCTGAATGAATAAAACTTTATTTTTTTTTATTTTTTTTTAGCAAGGATGAATTAAATTTATCAAAAAAGACAGTAAAGACTTTTATATTGTTCGAAAAAATTCTATTGAAAAAAAATGCTGTTCCTTCGATCTTTCTATTCATCAAAAATCCTGAAAAAAAATCACTTTTTTTCCTCAAACATATTAACGAGCACAACTGTTTTCAACTGTAATAATAATAACATTTCTTAATAAGAAATGTTTCTTATGTGCCAAATAAATCAGCATTTTAAAATGATTTCTAATCACAGCAATAATGACCGCTGACAATTCAGCTTTGGATCACAGGAATAAATTACATTTTTAAATATATTAATATATGAAAATCAATTCAAATATGTAATAATTTGAATTTAAAGTGTCATTATATTTTACAATAGCACTGTTTTTACTGTATTTTTAATCAAATAAATGCAGCCTTGGTGAAAATATATAAATCTTACTGACTCTAAATTTTGCAACGATAGTATGTATATTAACTAATAGTTTTACAGAGTCTCTACACATTTCCCTCCATTTTCCTGTATTTTTGTATAACCATTCATAGGGGACTGCTTTATCATTATTTGTTTTTAAATAGTACATAAAAACAAAATGAACTGTGGTTGGTTACTGTACATGGCCAGAAGGTGTCTTCCAGTCTAAGTTGGTGGTTCTTGGCTACACAAGACTGAATCATATGTAAGTTGTGTCTGCTGATAAAACACAGTATTGATGAAGAGACAGGTAAAACTCTCAGAGTTGTTGAATATGAAATCTAGCAGCTTCGGTGTGAGGACCCTCTTGGAATTGCTCCGTTTATCTTCATTTGCAGTTCAAATCATGATCATTGGAGGGCACACTTTGACTGGTGTGTCTTTGTCACTCTTATTTTAAAATCATGCATTTTTGATAATGACTCACTCCCTCTTCCCGTCAGGACCTGATTGACCGCCTCATCATCATTAACTCTGATGCGAAGATTCACTCCCTTTTCAACTACGAGCAGTCCCACACGTTTGGCCTGAGGTAAGATCAATAGTTCACTTCTCTCTACCAGTAAATGGACAGGAAGAGCACAGAAGTTATAGAGGGTCCTTATAGAGGTTTATTATCTGATTAGCCTTTTTTCTCCGTTCATTCTTCTCTGGGGATCAATGGCTGATTGATTCAGCTCTTTGTGTTCTCTGTGCTATGATTATCCTGAATTAATGCCAGACAGGGTGATACCAGGATATGAAAGAGTTCTCGGGCTCTCAAAGGAAGTAGAATTGACTGGTGTAATCCACCTACTTATTAAAAAGGAACACGTTTGATGCATTTTGTTCACATATAAATGAATTACCATAGTTTAAAAATAAAGTTTTTTTTTTATTTTTTTTATCAGCTATCAGAAACAGAATTGGTTCAGCACTTTAGATCACTTGCCGCAGCTTGAGATCACATTTACATAGATGCATAATGCTGTGCCAGTTATTTCCCCCACCGGTGGTATTTATATTAAAAAGGATTATGTCAATATTATCATTATGAGGATAACATAACGTAACCCTCCACATTTCATAAGGAGCCTTTTTTAGAGACTTTAATCTAGGTTTCTGAAAAGGGCAAAATAATTGAGTATTAAGAACAAGGTGGTAATAAAAATCATGTATTAATATTGCATGAACAGACCATCAATTTACAAATGTATATTCAGTGGTTTCACACTCTCAGCAGCTAATAATTCACCACACAATGCACAGTGTTGTTGGCCCAAACAATGTTTATGCTCACTGCAAGTGAACTATTTATTTTATGGTTTTTTATTTTATCTTGTGTCGTTTTATTGATGCTTTTCACGGATGAGAAAATGTCAAAGCAACCTACCCATTTTGGCATCTGCATAGATAGGTTAGTGCCAACATACTGTAGAGGTCAATTGGATGAACAGCCTTTGACAACAAAAGATATAGGAAGCTTTTTCTCCTCCCTTTTAATTTCTCCAAACTGTGTGATAAAATAGTTAGTTATTAGTTATTATTTGCATGTGGCATCGTTTTTCCAAGTCCAGAACCAGAGTTGGAGTATGGCTGGAGATTAGGTTCTATTTGAGCGTAAACATTTATAGATATTAAAAAGTGTGTTCAATCATTTTAATCCATACATGACCCCTTAGATTGAAGTGTCAATTTTGATTGAGATTTTAAATAAACATTCTGTCTTCCTGTCAGTTTCTTAGCGTGTGTTTGTCTTATTCCGCCTGAATCTAAATCTGTATATGGCATTTTGCCTCAGTGCAGAGGAAGTTGCCTTTGGCAATCCAAAGATCAATTGTGATGATGAAACCAAGTGCTGTTTATTTATTGCTGTCATGTTAGGTTTGCTGTATTTCCCTTAATAAAGTCAAGATGTAAGTTGTGGCATAGAAAAGAGTGAGATCCTCAGGCATATTCTGGTAAAAATATAGAAATGCATTATTTTCATCATTATCCATCCGGTAACAGTTCATGTTAATGGTTTGAGTAGAAACATTGTTTACACCCTTGAAAGTTTGCAGAATGAAATAAAGGAGATTAATAAAGATAAATAAGGAGAAACTACCAATTAGTACAACTTTCTGAAGAAAATGTGTGCGGTTGCCCATGTAAAAGTTGTGAAAACAGTATTGTGGAGTTTTTCTTTTGCTATTTTAGCAAGCGGGAACAAAATATATTTAATGTAGTCTCTCATTCACTACTACAAGGCTCACAAGTTTTAAAGACAGGCAAGAGTGACATCAGCACCCCCCCCCCCCCCCTCCCATAAGTCATAAGATCATGACTTATCTTGAATCTTACCCAGATACAATAGTGCCATTTTCTGATTGGCTATTGTGTAACCCCTTTCTTTTTTTTGATTGGCTGATAAGTGGCAGGCTCAACTAAGAACTCCAAGGGAGACGCGCTTGATTCCTCTGCCGGTTCCACAGTGAGAGTGATGCGGCCAGAGAAATTTTGGGCGCTGCGGCATATTAAATATATTATAAATAGTTTTTCAGCGTGAGAAATACAATGGTTGGCGTGAGTGACCGAAATGAGTGACTGTCATGCTCAATGCGTGACACTTGAGAGCCCTGCTACTATTGACAACTGTGACAACTTCCGCTTCTGAGAAACCCGGAAATGTGAAAAGGGTCAAATGGTTGCAAACGAGCCCCGATGATGGTCTGCGTGAGAAATCTTTCACCCTCACGCGGAATCCCTGATCGGGTGGGATTCCTATAAAAAATTGCCTGCGAAAATTTACTGAACAAAAGTAAATCTGACCACACCCTGAGTCTTAAGTCCCCACATCCATTAGGTTACGTCATCCTAGAAGACCATGAAAACAGTCATACAAAGTTTGATCAGCACACAGTGTACAAAAGCTTACCAAACAAACTCTTAACTCAATAACCAGAAATTAGTCAAGGTTCAGTCTTTTGAATTCTTGTCTCCTTATTTAAGATACCAACTCTTAAAGTAACTCTAAAACTATGATTTCTACTAATAAGTTCAAATGGATGATATTCTATGGAGTAATGATTGCAATAACCAGCCAGAGAGTGCAGCATATCTGTGATTTGATAAAATGACTCATTAATAGATGTCTGGCTGTTGGGATGGCAGGGCTCAAGAGGTGAACAGGCATATAAAGCAACAGAATTTCCTGGGTGTGGGTATGTGGGAAATGACAAAACTGTGACTCTTGTGTTTGTGGAGAGATCCACATGCTATATGATCAGTCCCACACTCTTGTGTTTACATGGAACATGGTCCGTTTGCGAAATATCAGCATGCCGTTCACACCCTCGGTCATTTGAGGTGTGTTTTGAAGTCCTTCAGCTCAAGTATTTATCTGTAGACGTTACAATATCACAGTTGTGTATAGATAAATCGCCCCCTTGTGTCAGATTTGAGACTAAGCATTAGGCCTATTTAAAAAAAAAACAAAGGAGGTTAACCAGCATTGTTATGCATCTGGGGCCGTATTCACAAAGAATTTTAAGGCTAAAAGTAGCTCCTAACTGGCGAATTTAGGAGCAACTCCTAAAAATAATGGGCGTGTCACTCCTAACTTTAGGACTCCTAATTTTTTTCACTAAGAGTAATTCACGAAGCATTTTAGCCCTAAAAGTAGCACCTAAGTCTGGGACAGCTTAAAAGAAGTCGAGAAACTTCTAACTCACTAAGACCTATTCACAAAGGATTGTAGCGCATACCACCGCCTCTCGCAGTCGTCCGGGGTCCGCGACACAAGCAGGAATGCTGCATTGATCTGCAAACAAATCCTCTCCCATGTCTCACGCTTAGTTTTGCTTGATATCCCAGTGCCGAATTTCCCTTTTATTATGTTTTTTTTTTTTTTTTAGCACCAACTGGGCCAGCAGCAGTAACATCCTGCGTCCAGTTGGGCTTTATTTTCCGTTTTGGCGATTTCATAATCCACCGTCATTCAACTATTACATTACTTCAATAGGAGCAACATTTCCTTGTTTTAAGTTTATTTTTCTATTTAGGCTAATATGATGTCAATTAACCAAGCAAGTGTCAATGCAAGTGTCGTTTTTCATTATTAGGCAAGTGGCGGTTTTCATTAGGGTATTAGGCTACCTTGATTTAATTTAATTTAATTCACGACTTTTCTCTCTCTCTCTGCCTTTTTAGAATTACACTTCACAAACCTGCACAAACATGTCATTATGCATTTCGATGACATTACTATTATTATTTTGTGTAGGACAGACATATTTAGATGTCGTAATTTCATGATTTGTTGCGTCTGTGTTATGTTCCGCATGATGGCCCTGTCATCTAACAACCAATCACCGTGATCATTGCAAGGAAGCTCGTGCATGAGAATTGACGCCATCTATAGCAACGAAGACGTTGCTATAGATTGTGAATAACTTTTAAGTTGTGAATAACTTTTAAGAGAAAACTCCTTGCTAAAATATTTTAGTGCCTAGTGGTAAGATAAAATTCTTTGTGAATACGGCCCCTGATCTGTAAATGTGTTTAATTTTCTTAGTCAAAATAAAAATCTGGGTTTTGTTTGCAACCTTCCTATCGTTCAATAATTACATATTATATTTTATAGAATTTACAGACTTTGAAGAGCTGAGTGCTGTTAGGATTATCTGTATCCAAACATCTGACAGTTATTATGCTTTGGATAGCCCACTCAGCCTTGTGATCACAGTCACATTAGCAGAGAACAGGCTGCGTCCAAAGGCTAAGGCTGCTGACTTCACAGCCAGCGTTTTTGAATGAAGGAACATCCTAAGTTAACTGATTTCAGATAGATTTCTAAGGCACTATAATATCTATAACGTCATGTCTAATGATCGAGAACAAATTCAAGTGAGCTTTAGACATTAGTCTACTAATGAGTTATAAGTTGAAAATAAGGAAAACAATTGACATTTATGAATTATTTGACACCTACCTACAAATGCCTTGTTGTTTCTGCATTTTTAAGCTGGGGTAAGAGAAAGTATTTTAACATAATAAAATGACTTATGATTATTAATTAAGTCAAAGCAAACATCAAGTCAAAATTTAATGGTACGGAAGTATGCACCGATACTGAATGCACCATCCATCTATCCATTTCTCAGCTATGTACAATTAAAGTAATGTTGCAACTTGCTTGTTCTTTGTTTTCCTTTTTAAACACTTCTGTATCCCATCTGTGCTCTTCCAGGCTCTTGAGCGTGCTGTGTTGTAACCTGGATTCTTTTCTTCTGCTGGAGTCTCAGTATAACCTCACCGAGTTACTGCTGCAGGGTCAGAAGGACAATGTCACAGAGCCGCCCACAGGTGAAGGGTGAGTGACTAACTCTGACTCTATAATTCAACAAGACACTAATTCAGGGTCAACCAACAGTCACTTTACAAAACTGTTTTATCATTTACCATTGACTTAGATATCCTGTATGTACAATATGAGCATACTGTGGAAACACTTTGCATTAATTCTTTATATTGTCTGTTTATTTCAGGGAATTCATCATCGATGGACTGTCTGTGGAAAGAAACCATATCCTTGTTCGAATCTGTGCAGTTGGTGGCCCGTCAGAGAGGAGACTTCCTCGCAGAGGCCTGGAGAAGGTGAGGGTATAGTTGTGTACAGTTTATCACGTTGTAGATACAGAACCACTGAAGCAAACTGTCACAGTTTGCCATTTGGTTGGAAGACAAATTATTTATTTACACTGTAAATAAAAAGCTGTTTCATCCTGGTTATTCAGTTCGGAAAAGGGATAGTGAGATTTAATCTGATATTGAATACCGGATGCTTTTGCACAATTTTGCATCATTGTAACTGTGCCCAAGTTAATAATCTAGTTTTAGATGCCTCTACATCTCATGTTTAGAATTTAAAAAACAGAAATCAGCATTCATATATCAAGATTATCTCCATTGGGGGGGGGGGGGGGGGTGTTATTGCTGCTTTGTCAGTTGTTTATTAAGAATGTACTGCCAAATATTGTTCTTCATAAATAGAGCTTTGCGGATCCTTTGTTGTAATGTAAAGAGGATTTGCGAAGTCTGGTTACAAAAATAGATGCATATGTGACAGTTTGAGTGATGACTGAATATGACATATAGTAAGTGGCTCTGGTGGATGACTCAACGCATCTTTAAGTGATTACCACGACTGGATCTAAAAAAAAACCTGCAGCCTGTTGTGTTTGACAAACAAAGCCCTTATGTGTTATTCTTTTGTTTTTCATTTGTTTTATAATGAAATCAGACTCTTGATTTGAAACTGCAATAAATATGTATTATTGGAGCAAAGGAAAACATTTTTTTTTCCTATTATGGAAGTCAATGGGGTCCATCAACTGTTTGGTTTCCGACATTCTTCATGACACCACAGTGTACCATAATTATGTAAAGTGTTCCATCTGTCCCTTAGGGAAGTGACCCTTACCCATGGCCAATGGTGTTTACCTACCCTCTGCCCAAGTTTTACACCCTTGACGTGCCCAAGACTCTCCGCACTAAACAGGGTAAGAACAGTCTTTTAAAGCACTAGGCATTTTATGTGTTGTTTCCCTAATTTATGAAAGGAATCCTCTTATTTAACGGTTACAGTTTGATTCAGTGTTTTACAGGGTTCTACTTTGTACTAGTAACTTCAAGGACACTTTCTCTCTTTATGACAGACTCATTTCTCTTCTTTACTGTCACGGCGATACATCTTTATTTCAATGTGACAGCTGTTTCCAGCTCAGTAAATAGAGACTAGAGGTTCTTAAAGGTTCTCCTTTAGGAACATGCGTCAGTATGTGTGTGAAGGCCTATTCAATGTCTCAGTGATGTTTCTTTAAATGTTTACTAGGCTTGAGTCAGTATATTGTCCTTTTGAAGGCCAAGTAGTTATAAGATTTATAATCTATAATTTGTAAGTAGTTATACATGGTAGTTACAAGTCAGAGTCACAAAGTAAGTGCCGTAAACTGTCATAGACTTTGAACACTGCATATTTCTTCTCAGAGTCAGAGATCAGTGCTTTCTTGGCCTCGTCTAAAGAAAATGAGAGAGATGCTAGCTGGATGGATGACTGCAGGAGACAGTTCTGCAAGATCATGGCTACAAAGTCAAACACTCTGACTGGATACGGTATGAGCCACATTCAGCTCTGTCTGAAATTCACAGCAAGATGCACAGAATCTCTAATCTTTTTACAGTATTTAAAGGTGTCAGTAATGAGAAATCAAATTGCTGGGCAAACAACTTGTCTGCCCAGTCACCTTGAGGTAATAAGGGGTGTGATGATGTAGGATAAATACTAAGAGGGTTCCAAGCATAGACGCTTCTCCTAAACACCAGAAGAACTAACAATATCCCATCCTATTCAGTGGCAATCCTATCCTACCACAGTCCAATCCTTTTTCACATCACATTTCAGTGCAGATTGTTTTGTGATCCTATCACAGTGTAATGCAAGCTTTGCAAAGAGGTTGTTATTGAAGGCCGGGACAGCACAAACTATATTAGGCTCGACAGCAAAGCTGCAGCTCGTGAGTCAGTGTTGTTACTCATTTCACATGCAAAGAGGGCATTTACATAGAGGTCCTAAAGGCACAACAGCAGCCTGTTTAATTTGAAGGGTCAGATAAATAGTGGGAAATCCTTTTGAAATATAAAACTAAATATGACTGTTTTGGCAAATTAAAAGTGAACCAGAGGGAAAAATACTGTGAACTTGGATGTACAAATAAAATAATGGAAAAACAAATAAAAAGATAAAAAATGTATGAGATGACCCTTTTAAATTCAAAACAAAGCTCTTTTGCATTATATGTTCCAAATGTTATTTATTTTGGAAGAGAAAGCTTATAAATGAATGTATTCAGGATCTCTAATTCTGCAAGACCAGTTTCTGTAAATGCAGAAAAGATTGTTTACAATGTGAAGTGTGCAATTGATTTTTAGACTTAAGTTATTGGCATTTATTTACAACACGCCTTAATGTCTTTTTCTTTAATTTTACGGTCTGATCTCCGCAAGAAAGACAATTGATTTCTTACATTAAATTTATTAATACATTAATGATAAAGCTGTAAAACCCTGTTAAACCATGCTGTATTTTTCTGGATTAAGAGTAGAATATTTCAATATATTATATTGTAGCTCATGATTTCTCTAGCATCCACTCTTTATATGACAGAGGCTATTTTGCATGAGATTTGAGGTTTGATTCAAAGGGAATTGCCTTGACGGTCAGGTTTCCTCTTCTCTGTTTGCTGCTCTCGTAGTTCTTGCTGATCTGTTGGAGAAGGTCGTGCTGCATCTCTCTTCTTCATCTACCGACTGCTTCTTTCCACCGGCTGAATATAAAGGTCAGTCAAAAGCACTTCAATGTTTAATAAAATAATATTTTTTTTATATTCTTGCAGCCAGCTAACAGAGATACCCTTCACTTCTGACGGGATAAATTGAATAAGAAAAACACAAGCATTTATGTGAATATACCTCTGTGTAGTATAGCCCTGCTTCTCATTACTGTACATTAAAGGGTTAGTTCACCCAGAAATTAAAAAAAAAAAAATCAATTGAATCAATTACTCACCCTCGTGTCGTTCCAAACCCGTAAGACTTTCTTTCATCTTCTGAACACAAAGGAAGATATTTTTAAATGAAATCTAAGAGATTTCTGTCCCTTCATTGACAGTCCACGCAACTACACTTTATCCCTTCAAAAAGTTCATAAAGAGATTGTAATACTAATCCATATGAATCGAGAAATTTAGGAGAAAATGTCTAAAGATGACTCGATTGCTTTATATGATGAACAAATTGAATTTAGGCTTTTATTCACACATAAACATTGATCAGCGAACGTTGGTTCTTGCATAAACTCAAATGTGCTGTGTAACACACAAGAAGGAACCTCATTGGTCCTCGCACATCAAGCAACATGAGTGTGAGTAAATGATGACAGAGTTCTCATTTTTGGGTGAATTAACCCTTTAAACAACAAATATTTTATGATTGGATGTGATAGTGTCACGTTGCACAGCAGTATTTAAAAGACTATTTGATTTCTGCTGGAAACTTTCGGCATCCCACTGGTTAGCACATGCATGATCACCATGGTAAATATATTGTAAAAATCCTTCTGGAAGACATTTTTCAGCTTTTTATTCATGCAAACAGAATTATTTAGAAAACAGGCGAATAGTTGAAAATAGTTTTATCATTTATTATCATCTGTATAATTGATTACACAAGATGGTTCTCAGAAATAATATTGGACATGCTCTTTTGTTTAAATCCCAGCTGCAAGTAATATCTGCAGGCTTGAGCTTGATTAATGTGACGACTTCAAAGAAAGATTTGACAAAATTCACACCCTTCTAAAACCTATTATTGTTTTAAGAATTATAATAAGCCATGATAATTATAATTGTTGCTTTGTATTTGACTCCATGACATCAATTAAACATCTTGCAAAACGTCTTCTCTCTCAAAACATACATTTTTCTTTTTAATCTCAGAGAGCTGAAGTTTTCATACTTTGAAAGACTTTTTGCTAACTTTGTTTGAGTATAGTAAGGGTCAGGGGTCAGTTAACTGTGGAGATTATTAATGGTTTGGGTTCTGAACTTTTAATGACAAACATCTCTTTTCATTTATGTGTGAAGTCCAAAGTCAGACCACAAGTGAAAATGCTTCTAGCAATTTTATAACTTAATGTAGTTTTTTTTAAGAAACTTATATATTATATTATATTATATTTCTCATTTGTTATAATGTATGTTTGTTTTTACATTTTGAATCCCACAGTGTTTGAATTTACTTTATCATGATTGTGATGTTTGATTCGGAAACCAATCATTCTTTTGAAACAGTTCTTTATGATCCAGTTGAACTGATTTGTCTAAGGAAATCTAAGGAAGAGAATTCGTCTAGGAATAAAACGTGTATGATATTTTGGAAGCAACATTTGCCACAACATTTGCCATCTATATAAACAATTTGAAAACATACTGATGAACAGTAGTATTTAAGTAAAGATGATTTTGCTTCAACAAGAACAAAATGCAGCTTCTGGGCAAACTTTTGAGTGATAAATTAATTGGTGAGTGAGTTCATTCAAATGTGAATTTATATGCCTGAACCAGTTGCAAATGCCCAAACTTCCCAAATATGATAGGCTATATGGGTACATGCAGATGCCTGACATTGGAAGGATTATGGTGTTATGTTACATTAGCATTTGTGTCCTCTGTATCCTCACCTCTCATTTAGCAGAGCAGTTGGAGCGAGTTGTCATGCTTCATCTCACTTAGCTGTTCATGTCATAATCGCTGAGGGAAGTATGATTTGTCATTCAGTCTTAGCCCTTCTCTCCTATTGGTTTGTTTGCCAGCCAGTCAAGACCAGTCACTTCACAAGGTGCACATCTATCTGCATTATGGCATCATTACAATCCGGACATTGTTTTTATATTAATGAGGATGGAGGAATGGTCCCATAATTATATTAGTGGGCCCATTTCCGTCTCACCAAGGGCATTCACTCAATTAAGGCGATTCTTAAGCATGATGAATGTAGATTACGCAGCTGATGCTGATTTGTGGGTAAGCCGATGCTGAGATGAAAATGTATTATTTAACAGCACATATTTCAGTGTTCTTTTGCTACTCTCTGCTCCATTTACCAAAATTAAATGGGTATTTGAAGAGGAGGTGTAAATGAGAGGTAATTTCTCTTCTCTTTTTTTTTTGGTTTCAGTGGTGGACCACAGTGTAAAGACTCGAAGCCTGTCTTCTGTGGAGCAGTTAGGTGTGGGGATATCCCTCAGGTAATATATGCCATAACTAGGCTAATGCTTTATGAGAAAATAAACCAACTTTGAAATTATTGAATACACTAATGTACTTCAAAAACTCATTTTATCATTTTAACATCCTTAAAACAAAAATAATTTACTTAGAAACTTTATTATTATTAATAGTATTAAAGTAAAACATAATAATTGAATTATTTATAATTAAGCATTTATAATTAAAGTGCTTTTCATTGCAAGGCAATTTCCTGTTGCTGTTTAGAGCTTTTCTTCTCATCTAAATCTATTCTGCTTTAAAGGACATGACATGGAATATTTCCCCATTATTTGATTGTTCCTTGAGGTTCACTTATAATGTTAATAAAATATATATATTTTGCTACTGCAATTACTTTATTATCTCTGTTTATTTAACATTGTTAACTGTTATTTAACTCTTAATAGTCTATTTATAAATGCATTCTATCCACGCATTACAATCACGACCGAAAACAAAATCAACGTTCAATCTTTGTCACCCTCATCGAGAACCTTGGACAGAGTAATGAGAGCAAATAAATAAAAATTAGAGAACAGGGATTAGATAAGTGATTTAATACAATATGAATATGAATAAGCTACATCAAGCAGAAAAGCTTTACAATTAAGCTACTCTGATTTTGACTTTCCGATAACGGAGTGCTGCAAAAGCTCGGACAAGTTTATCCGTATCCAACAATGTCATAACGTCATGTTCAATTGACATCTGGGCAAGTGAGGACAGTTATTCTTGTAGCATGGTGGACTGCAGGTATGATTTTATCAGCCGCAGGCGAGAGATATAAATTAAACAATGAAAAATGTGTTTTTACTAAAACTGGCAGTAGGCGGCAGCGAAACATTGTTTTAACGAGTGAGTCATTCAATCATTCAGTCAAACGATTCGTGGACGCGGACTCGTTCAGAAATCATTCGGAGACTCTGCTCTCATATGCAAATATATTTGCCCGTGTGATGTCACAGATCGCGCAATATCAATATGCGCCTTTTTTGGAGCTTGATTAAATAAATGCAAATAAATGCAGGATATTTTAATAGTACACAGACCTCTTACCGTATATGTCAAAAGATAAAGGCAAATTTGACCCCTATAAAAATCTTTAGATAGTTAAACTGCAAACCAGGACAAAAATACTGATTAAGAAATAGTTGCAGTGTTTTTTATTCAGAATCATTCTTTCTGCAATATGTCAGCACACTATGTAACTATAATATGAACCCATTTAGATATTTTGTCTTAAGGCAGTCCACACTGACTGTAATCAGCCAATGCATTCTAGTGCTCAGCACATTGGGATAATTGTAACTCTCTGTTAACCTTCATTTGGTGCTGTGTTTCCCAGGGAGAGACTGTACATGCATGATAAAACCAAATTTAATTCAGTAGTGAGATTTGTTCTTATTAGTCAAGAAATATTGCCTTGAGAAAGTTCTAATTATGTAAATGTGCACAAGTTGGTGTTTTGGGAAGAACATTTTTAACAATGTCTTTTCAACTTTGTTTAGCAAGGCCTTGAATGGGGTATTAAATGAAGCTGCCATGTAAAACAGTGTGTGTTTGTGTGTATAGGTATGGCAAGTTCCTGAAGCTATTGAGAGAAGATTCAGAACAGGATCTGTGTCTTTTGCTAAAGCACTGTCAGGAGTTTCTCTCTCAGCAACGAGTCAAGGTCACCTCTGAGCTCTGTATCCTTCTCATTACAGATTATTCCTGATATCAATCAAGTGACGCAATTTATTGCAAGAATTCTGATATTTTACATTTGTTTGCACAATATTGTAATTTTCTGTAGAATATATATATAGTTTAGTATCAGATCAATTTAGTATGTATTTAGTATGCATCTATACCAATGCCCATTGATAGGACACATTTTTTTTTTTTTTTGTGAATTTAGCCCCAAAATATTGGATACACAAGCCATACTTTAAACATTATGAATGTCAATGCATTATATAATAAAATATCAAACCAAATTAACTTTTTTTGAAAGAAATATAGCTAAAGTACACTTTTGAAGAGTTTTTGTTGGTTTAAAATAATGAAACACGACCGTTCATAACCAATACCGTTCTCTTATGTTCACCAAAACTGCATTTATCTTAAGAAAAAAGTAAATATTATTACAATATAAAATAACTCTTTTCTATTGTAATATAATTAAAAATATTACTTATTCCTGTGATGGCAAAGCTGAATTTTTTGCATTCTAATATGCTGATTTGCTGCTCAAGAAAGTTCTTATTATTATCAATGTTGAAAACAGTTGTGCTGCTTAATATTTTTGTAGAAACTGTTATATATATTTTCAGGATTCTTTGGTGAATAGACAGTTAAAATAACATTATTTATTGGAAATAAATATAAATATTTACTGTCACTTTTGATCAATCTAATGCATCTGGTGGAATACAAGTATTAACTTCTTTTAAAAAGTCATACCGAACCCAGACTTTTGAACACTAGTATTTTGACACTTTCTGGTTGTCAAGCATTAATGCAACATGTTCGCCCTCTGCTTGGCTGCCTGTGAACTTCACTTACTAAATATCGGTTGGTTATAAGTCATTGCAAAAAAGCTCAGAACTTCTAAGAAAAGCTCTAGTATCTTTTGTTTGCAGATGTTTCTTGGTTTGTATCTAATGATGTGACATTCTTGCATTTCTTCAACAAGTGTTACTTATGTGTTCAAATAGTTTTTGGGGCTACTATATCACTTTTTAGCCATCGGGTCCTGCTCTCTAGATGTAGGCATTAGCAACATGTAGGCTAGAATGTATTGAAGATTCCTTGACCCAGTTGTCAGCCTATTTTCAGGGGGGTTATCCTGGTCACGATTGGTTTGCCTCCACAGTTTTTTTGCTCATGCATGGCGACGTGGGCCGTTCTCTGAGTCTGCTCTTGCGTTTCTCCCGTCTGCTGCCGTCTGCCTTCCTGTGGCCCCCGAGACTGCACAGCTCTGTGAGTTACGGCTCACCACATTAGTATGGGCTTTTTTATCGTTTCTCTTTCTTCTCATTCATGTCAACCTTCAGTATGTGCTGCATGAGTAGCTATTATCATGACTGGAGCAACAAAATACACACACAATGCATTAAAGGACTAGTTCTCCCCCCAAAAATTAAAATGTTTCAATCAATACTTTTCAATCAATTCAGCAAGGATATTCAGTTGATTAAAAAATGAAAGTAAACACTTTTACATTGTTACGAAAGTTTTCTATTTTAAATAAATGCTGTTCTTATGAACTTTTTATTCATCAAAGAAACCTGAAAAAATATGTCATGGTTTCCACAAAAAAAAAAAAAAAAAAAAAAAAAATCATGTGACACTGAAGACTGGAGTAATAATGTTGAAAATTCAGCTTTTCCCTCACAGGAATAAATTATATTTTGAAATATATTAAAATAGAAAACAGTTATTTTAAATTGAAATAATATTTCACAAAATTACAGTTTTTACTGTATTTTTGATCAAATAAATTCAGCATAGGAGACTTCTTTTTTTTAAACTTACAGACCCCAAACTTTTGAACAGTAGGGTAAATGTTGACAGAAGGTTAATTTTGGGTGAACTATTCCTTTAAATGTCTCAAACAGCCCATGGTGCAATTTTGTAAACTAAAAACATCTGCATCCCTCTCATGTTTAGTAATGTTCTGAATTTATATGCATATTCTTGTGTAGCTCCCATATTCATGTGCTGTAAACAAATCTGAGCATTTTGACCTGCATTATCATTCTAATCTCCATTTGGAAAAGTTAATACTGGAAGGAAATGCTGGATATCATGATATTACTGGGGCATAGTCATTACTGTGGTCCCCATAAAATGTGGATGGAGCAATCTCGCTCTCTTTCTCGGAACAGCGGATAGTAAACAGAGCTCAGTTAATAGAGTTTCAGCTGTAAAAATATGTGCGGGATATGATAATGCTCCATACACACGAGTTCGTCTGATTACAATTCCATATTTCTGTGCTGTCAGAGTGGCCGTGCATGTAAATCATTCAGAGACAATGATGAGAATCAGAAAAAGAGAAGATGCAGTCGTCACATTCGTCACAGATGCCTCAAAACAGGAAGACACAGACAGGCTAATGACATTTTTTTTTTTTTTTTTTTGTGGTGGCCAGTACCCTTGGAGGAAGAGTTTTTTTTTGTTTTTTTTTTTATGTCATTCCAAATTAAAATAAAATAACATTTTCTTTCAGCTGAAAAGCACAAAAGGGAATATTTTGCATAACATAATGTTTCTATCTTTTCTAATAAAATGAAAGGGGATTTTTATTTCAAAAATGATAAAAATAGCATCATAAAAGTGACACTGTGTGTTATATATATATAAGTCTTCAGAAGTCAATGCTAGCTTTGTGTGGAGAACAGAAAAGTTATTATTTACTGAAAATCTTGCCCTTTGCAGAGTTCTCAAATCTCATTTGCACTTCATGATCAGTTACGACACGCAAAAACCAATGCAGCTTAGCATCATTTACACTACCTTGTGCACTGCATCTTCACAGTTTCTTCACATTTTCCCCATGTTTTAGGTGCATCTCCCTATAGAAATCGCTCAATCGGGAATACATCCGATCTACTCCTGCACCGCTCATTATGTTGAAATGTTGCTCAAGGCCGAGGTTCCTCTGGTTTATTCTGCCTTCAGGATGTCTGGCTTCACTCCCTCTCAGGTGCTGTATTTTAAGTATTTTATTAGGAATTGTTATTTTACATTTTTAATAAATCTCCTCTGTTGGTAAACAGACTTGCCAACCTTGATGCATTTTGCATCGCAGGCATGCCTTCTGGTGTTTTCAGTGTCTCGGAGCAGCAACCATCTTCCCAAATTTTTTAATGTGGATTGGTTATAAATCTGTTGTCAACAACAAAGAAGCAATACGGTCTCCTCTGTGGTTTTCCACATAAATTAAAGTTCTGTGTTGTTTGAAAATAGAATTAAGAAATTGAGCCATGAATATTAGTATTGTTATTTTAATGGTAACAAACTAAATTTATATTATATGGTAATATATTTCTTTAGTGGTTTTAGTTTTTATAATTTATTACAATAGAAAATATGTTATTAATTATAATACTAAAATATTATTAAACATCAATTATAATCATTTTAATTTTGTCTATGGAACAACATGAATCATTTTGTAAAAACCTTTCCATACAACAAAAGCATATAGTCAGAAAAGCCAAATATGGCACTGACTTATCTGAATTTACTTATGGGGCATAATAATAATAATAAGATGGTGTGGATGTCCTGTATTTAAGCTCATCACATGTTACTTTGTCACGAATCTCTGTGGGAGTCACATCACTTATGATGTGAATTGTGATCGCTGGGTGAATTTGTGTGACTTTGCCAGGCTAGAAATGTAAAGATGCAAGGACATTCTGTTATGACCTGGATGACTGACAATCTTCATAGACAAACGCAGTGATTATTCAGCGCTACACTTTCTCTGGGGTTTATATGCATGATCTCAAAGCTCTGCCTCAAGTCTTTTGTCAGATGAAGTCAGATATGACCTTTTCTAGCAGTCAAGGACAAGCAAATTAAAGAGTAGCTGTGTTTTCTGCATTTAGTTTATTTTTATATTCTTTATCATTTGCACACTCTCAATAGGACTGGATCTTGCTTAATTCCTATGACCTGACTAAAAAAAAAAAAATTCTCTGTGCGCCCAGAAATTTTCTATTGTTATTAGAATGGAAGATGTTTTTTGGTAGCAATATTTTCTGAAACATTTTCAAAGCTGTTTTGGAAAAATAGCATTTTTAAATTATTAAAATGCACACTCACATGCACATACACCCATCTAAAAATATGAGCAATAAGCTTAAAATCTTTCTGAACAACATTTTTTTCAAGGACACAGGAAAATAAGAAGTCTTCCATAGTATAAGTATAACAAGAGGCAATTTACACAACATTTTTGTTTGTACTTTAGTGTGATGTGAAGGGAAAGCAGAATCAAGGTTTCAGTATTCCAGGGCATCAGTAAAATATTTGTTCACCTTATTGTTGTTACATTACAAATCAAACTGTTACACTAAACAGAGGACAATTGCTGTAATTGTCATCTTCTGGTACGTTGTTGAGTCATTGAGTTAGAAGTTAAGATTTTTAGTATTAATCGTTAATCGTAATATTAATAATATTAATCGTATTAATATTAATCAGCGATTAAGTAGGTTCATGCGTGTGACATGTAAAGCAGACACACACAAAAAATGAATGTTATGTTTGGGAACATTTTACAGGTTGTGTGTGCATTCGCAGCCTTTTGTTTTGTGCAAATGTAAGTTGAAATATATCGTGTTTATTTTGTGTAGGCCTATCTATTCATTGAGCACTTCAGCGCACGCATTTATGAGAACACTATTTTATTATAAATACAATACACACACACACACGCATATATATATATATATATATATATATATATACACTCACCGGCCACTTTATTAGGTACCCCATGCTAGTAACGGGTTGGACCCCCTTTTGCCTTAAGAACTGCCTCAATTCTTCGTGGCATAGATTCAACAAGGTGCTGGAAGCATTCCTCAGGGAGTTTGGTCCATATTGACATGATGGCATCACACAGTTGCCGCAGATTTGTCGGCTGCACATCCATGATGCGAATCTCCCGTTCCACCACATCCCAAAGATGCTCTATTGGGTTGAGATCTGGTGACTGTGGAGGCCATTTTAGTACAGTGAACTCATTGTCATGTTCAAGAAACCAATTTGAAATGATTAGAGCTTTGTGACATGGTGGAAGTAGCCATCAGAGGATGGGTACATGGTGGCCATAAAGGGATGGACATGGTCAGAAACAATGCTCAGGTAGGCCGTGGCATTTAAACGATGCCCAATTGGCACTAAGGGGCCTAAAGTGTGCCAGGAAAACATCCCCCACACCATTACACCACCACCACCAGCCTGCACAGTGGTAACAAGGCATGATGGTTCCATGTTCTCATTCTGTTTACGCCAAATTCTGACTCTAACATCTGAATGTCTCAACAGAAATCGAGACTCATCAGACCAGGCAACATTTTTCCAGTCTTCAACTGTTCAATTTTGGTGAGCTCTTGCAAATTATAGCCTCTTTTTCCTATTTGTAGTGGAGATGAGTGGTACCCGGTGGAGTCTTCTGCTGTTGTAGCCCATCCGCCTCAAGGTTGTGCGTGTTGTGGCTTCACAAATGCTTTGCTGCATACCTCGGTTGTAACGAGTGGTTATTTCAGTCACTGTTGCCCTTCTATCAGCTCGAACCAGTCTGGCCATTCTCCTCTGACCTCTGGCATCAACAAGGCATTTCCGCCCACAGAACTGCCGCTCACTGGATGTTTTTTCTTTTTCGGACCATTCTCTGTAAACCCTAGAGATGGTTGTGCGTGAAAATCCCAGTAGATTAGCAGTTTCTGAAATACTCAGACCAGCCCTTCTGGCACCAACAATCATGCCACGTTCAAAGTCACTCAAATCAACTTTCTTCCCCATACTGATGCTCGGTTTGAACTGCAGGAGATTGTCTTGACCATGTCTACATGCCTAAATGCACTGAGTTGCCGCCATGTGATTGGCTGCTTAGAAATTAAGTGTTAACGAGCAGTTGGACAGGTGTACCTAATAAAGTGGCCGGTGAGTGTATATATACACTACCGTTCAAAAGTTTGGGGTCGGTACGATTTTAAATACTTTTAAAAGAATTCTCTTCTGCTAACCATGGCTGCGCTTATTTGATTAAAAATACAACAAAAATCAGTTATAGTATTAAATATTATTCCAGTGTAAATCAGCTGTTTTCTGTGTGAATATATAGTAAAGTGTCATTTATTCCTGTGATCAAAGCTGAATTTTCAGCATCACCAGTGTCAGTGTCTTCAGTGTCAAATGATCCTTCACAAATCAGTATAATATGAGGATTTGATGCTCAAGAAACATGTATTATTATTATCAATGTTGAAACAGTTGTTGGTCTGTCAGTTGTACAGTTTTTTTTTTTTTTTTTGGATTCTTTGATGAATAGGAAGTTCAAAAGAACAGCATTTGTTTGAAATAGAATATTTTGTAACATTATAAATGTCTTTACTGTCCTTGATAAATAAAAGTATTGATTTCTTTTCTCCAAAAAATAAAAATAAAATTCTCACTGACCCCAAACTTTTGAACGGTAGTGTGTATATATATATATATATATATATATATATATATATATATATATATATATATATATATATATATATATATATTAAATTCATACAGAGTCTGTGACATGAATTTTATTTATACCACACAGAAGTTAAAGGCTGCAGTTAATGATTGATGGTCATCAGTGTGTTGAGTGTTATGCAGCTGAGTAATACAAAAAAAATACCCAAAGTTGTGAAACTAGTAACTAGTTTTGAATTGACAGAAACTGAAGGAAAGAAGACTTTCTGTTATAAATTGAGTGTCACCTCCATCATAGAGGGCATCCGTGTCTGAGCACTCGGAGAGAGTGTTTCGAATTCTAGACAAAGCAGGAAGAGTGTCTGAAAGAGAGCCACAGATGCTGTATAAATTGCCTGCTGGAGTGGTCTGAATGTATGCATACACGTTTGGCAAGACTGGAACGCCTTTCTATGATACCGTAGAATAATTGAACTGCTTCTGAGGAGGATTATATGACCTGAACGCAGTTCAACACCACAGAAACAAAACAGAAATACATCAAGCTTGTGGATGAAAGGGATTTCTGCATATGATTCAAGAGACTTGATTTATTTCTGTAGGAACATTCTTTCAATGTTATTCATACACTGCAAATCATGTTCTTTAAAAAAAAAAAAAAAAAAAATCCCAGTTAACATACCAAACAGTTGTGTTAGATTTATACTTAAACAAGATTAAAATAAAAAAATAAACTTACGTAGTGTTCAGAAGTGTAGGGTCGGTAAGATTTTGTAATGTTTTTGAAAAGTCTCAAGGCTGCATTTATTTGATCAAAAATACAGTAAGAACTATAATATTGTGCAATATTATTAAACAAATTTAAAATTATGTTAAAATTAAATTTAGTATTTTTGTGGAAATTGTTAAGCATTGGAGATGTTAAGCATTCTTTGGTAAATTAGAAAGAAAATTAACAGCATTTATTTAAAATAGAAATCATTATTCATTATAAGTGTCTTTACTGTATTAAATATTTTACTTGCCCTAAACTCTTGAACATTAACGGATTCTCAAAACAAAGTTTTAATATCTTGCTGTTTTGATTCTCAAAGAAATTTTGATGTTTCTTTACTGGAAAATGATAAAAAATACTAATTAACGAAAATTACTATTTTGTGTGTGATGATTTGTTTCATAGTTAATTATGATTCTAATATGTAATGTACAGTTGACTGCATCAGACCTCAGGCATCATGTTAAAATTCCATACTCAGAAGTTTTTGATCTCTCGTTTATTTTTCCAGCATTTCATATTGATTGATTTATAACATGTATGGCGCAAACGTTGCATTCTCTCTCTCTCTCTCTCTCTCTCTCTCTCTCTCTCTCTCTCTCTCTCTCTCTCTCTCTCTCTCTCTCTCTCTCTCTCTCTCTCTCTCTCTCTCTCTCTCTCTCTCTCTCTCTCTCTCTCTCTCCTTCCCTCGCTCTCTGTTCCTCCCTCCACCTGCCATGTAGATCTGTATTCAGTGGCTTGGCCAGTGTTTCTGGAACTATCTAGATTGGCCTGAGATCTGTCACTATGTGGTCACCTGTGTCATCATGGGACCAGATTACCAGGTGTACATGTGTGTTTCTGCCCTCCGTCACCTGCAGCAAGAGATCCTGCAGCACACACAGACGCAGGACCTGCAGGTCTTTCTGAAGGTACAGTATAACTTTTGTAAATGAAAACGATGCTATCATTTACTCACCTTCGTGCCATTCCAACACTGAAAATAATTATTGTTGGTTTAACTTAAAAAAGTAAGTTACCTGGTTGCCTTAACATTTTGAGTTAATTTAAATTAAAAATTTGAGTTAATGCAACAAAGGAGATTGGTCTAACTCAAAATATGATGTTATCTGAACCACATTAATTATCTAATTTGATATGACAAAAGATAAAATGTTGTGATAACAAATCATGACAATTATTTTTTACAGTGAATGTATGAGTTTTTTTTTTCTTCCGTGGAAGACGTTTCGCTGCATGTTCACGCTCTTTTCCGTACAACGAAAGTGAATGGATCTGGTGCTCTCTCCAAAAAGGACCAAACAGCACCATATAAACATTATTAAAGTGTTCCTCAGAGGAAATTAGTTCTGGAATAATGACAGAATTAACATTTTTGGCTGAACTAGTCCTTTAAAGTAAGAACACACTGAGGTGGTGTTGTTTTAATGGAGTGTACAAGCGTGGCTGCAGTAAATCAGATTAAGCAGACTCTTGTCCTTGGTTCACCCTTAAATGTTCAAAACTTTTTAGTGTTTGTGTGTGCGTCAGTGTTCACGGTGTACCCTGTACAATAGAGAAACCATTTCAGAGAATTCCTGAATGGTTTCTGAGGATTTGTACATATCCAAGATTGCAAAACCTATCTGTATTTCATCTAAATTAAAGATCGGGAATGGAAATTACTCGTAACAGTCCCTCCCGATGTCACTCTGAAGCCAGAGTAAATGTACAATGAATCCATTTTGGATGATTCAACAAAGGGGAAATCAAACTCAACTAAAGTCATTCTTTGTTTGCAGGATTTCAAAAGCAATTGTCTGTCACTACCGAATCGTTCCAACACTTTGAAAACCATGACACATAGCTAGTGAGTTCAAATCATCCTGCAAACCCATTTTAGGCTTTTTTTCCCCTTCATTTGTATCAGCAACAATAGATGGTGGAATAGTTTTAATGTCTTTAGATAATGGGTACTTGTAATTAAAATGTCATTTTTATTGTTTCATTTTGAACACACCAGCGTGCATCCACTTTCTGGTTTTGAATGGCTTTGTAGGCAGGAGACTTTCTTCAGCTTTAGGGAAACATCTGGACTTTTCACAATAGTCCCTTCATATGGCTCTGTGGTTTTATGTTATAGATTGTTTGCTACTCCACAGCTATCATCAGTGGTGTGAAGAAATTGAAATAACCTTCCACACAATAAAACCCAAACAGGAAAACCCTCATGTTGTTTCAAACTTATATCACTTCTTTCTTCTATGCATTACAAAATAAGGTATTTTGAAGAATCTCCAAGCTGCTTTTTGACATATAACAAATTCCAAATTATATTCCAAATTCATCACACCATGTTTGAATTCAGTGATACTAAACACTACTGGTTCTGACTTGTGACCGATTGTGACATGCCAGGTTTAAATATGGAATCAGAGTAATGTGAATGTTTATGGTGCTTTTTTTTCTCAAATTCTCAAAACATCAAATTTTTTGGTTCCTTGAAAGAAAGTAATTGGAACAGCTTACTGCTTGATGGTGAATATGTTTAATTTTGGGGTAAACTATTCCTTTAAGTTCACCAAAGACTAGTTGAATGAGGTCTCATCTTACAATACGTAATTTAATTGTACGTAAAAAGTGTGATAGAGAAAACCTACTTTTTTTTCCATCAGAGCAGCTAATGCAATTTCACAATCTTTATCTATTCTTCTTAGTTTACTTTTTTTTACATATTGTCAGTTATTATCTGACTCTATTCACATATTGTCAGTCATTATCTCTATTCGGTTTTATTGAAAGACGCTCCGTATTTATATTTATGACTAGCATTTATCAGCAGTGGCTAAAATTGGTTATAGTTTGTTTTATAATGGACTATTTCAGTCTTTTTTTTTTAAGCATTGTGAGTTTATCTATTTTGTTTGTCATTGCCAAACCGACTGTTGTCATTGCCAAGCCATCTGCAGTTATATCACAAAACTGCTTACACTGCAGGCATGTTTTATTTAATGCAGCAAACTCATAAAGGTTTATTATCCCTTCTCTCATTTCGATCTCTTCACCATGAACTGAAGTGTCCTTTTGTAACTTCAGGCATAGCTTTTGGTCTTGCATCCGCTGACTCATCGTAAACAAAATGTAATTAATTTGGCTTTGTCTAAATGATATTATTTATCCCAAGCTAAATGTCAGAGTGTATTAGGCGGTGCATTGTTTATTTAGTACACGGACGTGTAGCCATTCCTCACATAGTGCCAGTATATGACCTCTTGTTTCATTAATAAAGACCTTTTGTTACTGTTGGCAATGAGATTTGTCACAATATTTATTATGTGAAAAAGTTTGCATGCTTTCATGCAGCAGAATACAATTGTCAGAGTAATTTTAACCACTCTGTGTCGCACATAATCAGGATCTGCTCAGACTAGAATAAGAATATCAAAATCTCATCGGATTGAGCGTAATCTATTCTGAAGCTGTTTTAAGCCTGTTCTACCTCTTTTCCGCAAACCGGCTCTCTCAAGCGCTGCTCATCAAATCTGTGCTGCTTTTATGCTTGCAGGAGGAACCAATCCACAGCTTCAGGATGAGTAATTACCTGGAGTACATGGAGGGGCTGGAGCGCAACTACAGATCCATGGTGCTCTCGGACATGAGGAGCATCTTACCAAGGAGCAGCTAGAAGGAAATCTGAAGATCAGCAGGGACTGAAAGTGCTTGTGGTACAGAATGAGACTGAAAATGTTGCATGGAATTTAGGCTGTTTTTGCAACGCAACATGCTCGACGTGCAAGAGGCCGGCGTTTTGACGGACACCATGTGAATATTTGAGTATTGAGTATGAGTATTCTCACTCAGGGGATCATAAATATAAGAAATCAAACTCTTCAAAGGCTAGTAAATAAGTAACTGTAACTGCATTGACTGGTACATTTGTTTTGTAAAATGATGCTAAACTATATATTTCACTATTGTGTATGTGAGCGTGTGTGTGTGTGTATATATATATATATATACAGTACCAGTCAAAAGTTTGGATGCATTACTATTTTTAATGTTTTTGAAAGAAGTCTCTTATGCTCATTAAGCCTGCATTTATTTAATCAAAAATACAGTAATATTAAAAACAGTAATATTGTTAAATATAAAATTTTTAAATAATGGTTTTCTATTTGAATATCATTTAAAAGATCATTTATTTCTGTGATGCAAAGCTGAATTTCCATCACTCCAGTCTTTAGTGTCACATGATCCTTCAAAAATCATTCTAATATACTGATTTATTATCAATGTTTTATTATTCTATTATATTCAATTAGAAAACCCTTATTTTAAATGGAATCCACTTGATTTTGGAATTTTATGGGGACACAAAAGATTTCCCAATGCAGATTTCACAACCGGTTCATGTTGGAATCTGCGTTGACCGACAGAAAGCTGCTTAGTTTGAAAGCGAATTCTGTACAAGTTGTCCTTTATATGTTGCTATTGACAAGAGATGATGAACCGGGTTTGCTTGCGAAATTTCATTTCAATTTCGTACCTTCATGGTTGCTGACCCCAGACACAAGTCACTCAGCCTGTTACATGACATCAGTAAATATGAAAAAATCAAAAATAATTTTTAATGGAAAATCAAACATGAAGTGAAGTATATGTGATCTTCTAACATGTCAACACTTGAGTACATGATGAATCGCAGGCCATTCTTGTTGTGTATTGTGTGTTTTTTTCTAAAACCATACATTAACATCTGTAGTCTCTTATTCCCATCCTAAGGAAGCTGTATAGAGAGGCAGTATCACGTTGACAGGCCGTCATTAGCACATAGATGCAATCTCTCACCCTCGCCATCTGTAACTCACACTGTGAATAATGAATTAGATCATTAGAGAGAGGTGTCTTTCTCCTTCACAACAACTGCTAAATATTGCATACGGTTTCTCTGTAGGAGGCAGAAGCAGTTATAATTTTAAGATGGAAAAAGTTCCCTCAGAGTGCATTTTTTCGCTTTTTTTGTCTTTTACACCTATATAACTTCTATGTATATGCTCAGATACAACTATTGCATTAAAATCACTTGTGCGTCATCTGTTGATTTTTTTTATCTTTGTGTAATCATAACAAGCTGTACACATTAATCAGGTTAATGATTTAGCGACTGATTGTTTGCCAACAGTCATCTGGAAATCTGGAGTGTGTCTTGCTTTGGCTTGTTATAAATTGACAATACAAGCCTTTTGTGACGTGGATGTTGATGATGTATCTACAGACCAAAATGGTAGGATAATTAGAAAAGACTAATTATGGGTAATTAAACTGATTAACTGATAATCATGGCCTATCTGTCTCTGTATTAGGCTTGAGGAGTTGCATTAGCTTGATTTTCTCTGGTAAATATGCTTTATTATTCTCCTCCACATTAATTATCCATGTTATGACTGCCAAATTGCACTTCTTGAAGAATCTGCTTGATGAATGGGCGAATTTTAATCAAACGTGAGCATCACTATCCCTTACTCACTCTGAAGGGCACTTGAACTTAGTATTTATGAAGGGTGCAGGGCATTAAGGGCCATTCACACCAAGAATGGTAACTATAAAGTTTTCCTAATCATTTTAATTTTATGAGAATAGGGAAGTCCACAACTACAGTGGGGAGAACAAGTATTTGATACACTGCCGATTTTGTAGGTTTTCCCACTTACAAAGCATGTAGAAGTCTGTAATTTTTATTACTTCAACTGTGAGTGACGAATCTAAAACAAAAATCCAGAAAATCACATTGTATGATTTTTAAGTAATTCATTTGCATTTTATTGCATGACATAAGTATTTGATACATCAGAAAAGCAGACCTTAATATTTGGTACAGAAACCTTTGTTTGCAATTACAGTGATCATATGTTTCCTGTAGTTCTTGACCAGGTTTGCACACACTGCAGCAGGGATTTTGGTCCACTCCTCCATACGGACCTTCTCCAGATCCTTCATGTTTCGGAGCTGTCGCTGGGCAATACGGACTTTCAGCTCCCTCCAAATATTTTCTATTGGGTTCAGGTCTGGAGACTGGCTAGGCCACTCCAGGACCTTGAGATGCTTCTTATGGAGCCACTCCTTAGTTGCCCTGTTTTGGGTCATTGTCAAGCTGGAAGACCCAGCCACGACCCATCTTCAATGCTCTTACTGAGGGAAGGAGGTTGTTGGCCAAGATCTCGGGATACATGGCCCCATCCATCCTCCCCTCAATACGGTGCAGTCGTCCTGTCCCCTTTGCAGAAAAGCATCCCCAAAGAATGATGTTTCCACCTCCATGTTTCACGGTCGGGATGGTGTTCTTGGGGTTGTACTCATCCTTCTTCCTCCAAACACAGCGAGTGGAGCTTAGACCAAAAAGCACTATTTTTGTCTCATCAGACCACATGACGTTCTCCCATTCCTCCTCTGGATCATCCAGATGGTCATTGGCAAATTTCAGACGGGCCTGGACATGCGCTGGCTTGAGCAGGGGGACCTTGCGTGCGCTGCAGGATTTTAATCCATGACAGAGTAGTGTGTTACTAATGGTTTTCTTTGAGACTGTGGTCCCAGCTCTCTTCAGGTCATTGTCCAGGTCCTGCCGTGAAGTTCTGGGCTGATCCCTCGCCGCCTTCATGATCATTGATGCCCCACGAGGTGAGATCTTGCATGGAGCCCCAGACCGAGGGAGATTGACCGTCATCTTGAACTTTTTCCATTTTCTAATGATTGCGCCAACTGTTGTTGCCTTCTCACCAAGCTGCTTGCCTATTGCCCATCCCAGCCTTGTGAAGGTCTACAATTTTATCTGATGTCCTTACACAGCTCTCTGGTCTTGGCCATTGTGGAGAGGTTGGAGTCTGATTGAGTGTGTGGAAGGCTTCTTAAAGAGAAACTAACAGGTCTGTGAGAGCCGGAATTCTTACTGGTTGGTAGGTGATCAAATACTTATGTCATGCAATAAAATGCAAATGAATTACTTAAAAATCATACAATGTAATTTTCTGGATTTTTGTTTTAGATTCCGTCACTCACAGTTGAAGAGTACCTATGATAAAAATTACATACTTCTACATGCTTTGTAAGTGGGAAAACTGTGTATACACATCTATAACAATAACAACACAGAGGAATGATATAGTTGGAATCACATTAGAACCATTCCAGCTGATAACCGATAATAACATTTGAATTCAATCAGAAAGTTACCGTCATGAACAAATTATTATTATAAGTCAATTATTTTTAATGAATGAAACACATGCAGCTTACAACTCTAAGACATAAATCAGTGCGTTTACTGACTGTTTGTTTATATTTCACAACATATAGGTAAAGATGCACATCATTGGCCTGTTGCATGAAGCTAGCCTAACAAACTCTGAGTTTCAGTGTAGGTTAAGGGTTGACGAAACCATACAATCCAACCTGGTTTAGATCCGATTCAGCAAATGTGATTTCACGAAGTACAACATGTCCCTGGATCAACATCTTTTTTGATCCTTAAACAACATTCCAATTAACCAATCAGATTTGAGGGACAAGTTTACAGTTTGTCAAGTTTAGGCTTACAACCAGGGTTAGGTGCTTCTACATCTGTGTTATTCACCTATCATTTCCTTCTGATTTTAGGGATAAGTTATGGGTTTAGGGTTAGGGATAGGAATTTTTGGACAGGAATGTTGTTCCTGGATCAACATGTTTCGGTTTATCTTTATTTTGATGGTCCCTTTAATACATTCTGTTGACTATAAGTAACGTTGCACCTACATGTCTACTAATTCTCATTATAGTGTGAGTTGAGTATTAGTAGACTAAAGTTAGAGTTAGAATTATTTTGACATGTTGCAATGTTACTTATAGTCAGTAGAATGTCTGTTGAAGGATCATCACAATAAAGAGTTAGCAGATATTAAGTAGACTCTGATACTCTAATGAGAGTTAGTTGACAGAATGTTCAAAAGAGACCATCATATTACCCATGTTTCCTGTCCAAAAAATGTGTCTTAATAGGTAGAATCATGGTGACCTGTCATATACTGTATGTCACTTTGCTCACAGCTGATTGGTCCAGTTTTAGTTTGCAATCTCTAACCCATAAAATGGAGCAGGTTAGCCGTGTAGCCTAAGGGTGTATTCACACCTGCCTTGTTTGGTTCGATTGAATCGAACTCTAGTTCGTTTCCCCCCTTGGTGCGGACCTTTTGGGCGGGTGTAAATACAGCCATCGAACTCAGGTGCGGACCAAACAACCGAACCGAGACCCAGCTGAAGAGGTGGTCTCGGTACGGTTCCAAACGAACTCTGGTACGGTTCGTTTACGGTGCGAACATGAACCGACCCAATTGCGAGAAAGCACTGTGCCTTTGAGTTAACAGGCTTCCGTAGTCGGAGTTGCGTTATGGGAAAGTGATCTGTTGTAGCCTACTACATTTGATAAAATAAGTCGTAGTTTGACCTGGAGCTTCGAAGAGACGAGCTGCCTTATTAACATTTGGGCAGATGCCCATGTAGCACAGTTGCTGGAGAGGACACATAAAAATATTGATGTGTTCAACATGTTTACTGAACGGATGAAGGAGAGGGGATATGAGAGGTTTCCCGCACAGTGGGGCTGAGCCTTTTTTGCACTTCCTGATTTCCCTACTTAAGAATCCTTGTCCAATGAATGGATGACCTTAGCACATGTGTGGTTTTGTTTACAAATTTTGGTTCACTTGCAAAAATAGCAGTGTGAAAGCGAACCGTACCAAAAAAAAAAAAAAAATTTTTTTATTTGGTCCGGACCAAAGCAAGTGAACTATCGGACTTTCCTGGTGTGAATACACCCTGAGTAACATTGTGACGAACACTGCTAAAAACCAGTCCATCTTGAGCCTGAAAAACCTGAGCTTGCTCAAACTATTCTCAAGTAGAAGTTTATAAAAAATACTTGTTTTAGTGTTGCTCTACACTTTGCTAACAGCCCATTTTGAATTTGTCCTGTATTT